TCAGTCAGACTAATGAAATAGATTGATATATAATTCTGCTATTAGTGAACTTGTCAGTGACTCTGTTAGTAATTTTAATGATGACTTCTTTTTCAGAGTATTTCATAAGCATTGACAGAGATCTGTGTAAGATTCATAGTCTTATGAATATTGTCTTTATAAATCCTATCATCATTAGAAAATATCAAGCTTCTGTTTCAAGCATTCAGCAAGATGCCTTGTTCAGATAGTTAGACAAGTTCTAATATAAGATTATAATCAAGATTATTAACTTCATATGTATAGGCATCTTCACATTGATGTTCTTTAACATCTATGTTTAATTTCATCATGTAATGAGTACAAACATCTTTCAATTCATCAAATTCTGTGAGAAGTCAGAGTTTTGATAAAGAGATACACTGAAGATTATGATATCTTACAACTGAAGATTTTATTATTGCATAGTAGTATAGATCACTGTCTATCATGACTTTTATATTATACATGTTATCAATCACAGTAGATACAAGAATCACATTCATTGTCATTTTCTCTTTAAATTGTTATTATCTGACCTCTTCAAGCTTCTATTTGTAAATTTGAACAGAAGCTAATCTTTTCCCTGTTTCATCAGAATATTCTTATAGTTATCTTTCAAATCTTTCTTCACTGCAATGTGGTTGATGTGAACAGATGCTGATTCATTCTTTGAATAAGAAGACACTGATCTTTCTCTTGATTAAGAAGGTGCTGGTCTTTCTCTTGAGTGTGAAGATACATAGATTAATCAGCAGTTGAAAGTAATGTGTTCTAATCAGTTACAGTTGATGTATACTTCACATTGATATTGATCAGCAACTTCTTCAGAAGTGATCTCAGAAACTCAGAAGTCTGTTCAAACAGCAGAAACTCTTGCTTATGTATAGACATTTGAATCTATTCAGTTCATGACATCTGCATCATTACTGTTACTCCTCTTCAGTATGAGTGTATAAGTGACTGAAGTGTAACATCTTCTATCACTGTTCTGTATACTCTTGAGCTTGATAAGACAGTCATTCAATGTCTGAAGCTGTGTGCAGAAGTCTTCATAAGTCTGATCTTTATCTATACTTACAAGAGTCTGTAAGAGTTCAAAAGTTAATGTCTTCTTAAGTATGCTAATCTTCATTCAATTCTTTCAAGATTGATTATCTACTTCTAAGATCTTGATATTGAAGTCAGAAATAAATGTTGTAAGAGAAATGTTTCTCTGTTAAATACTCTGTAATCAATCTAATATCTTCTGTTGTATAGCAGTGTCTTGAAATAGAATATCAAGATATTTCATGATATTATCAGGTATTTGCAACACTGATTCATATACTTTTATTCATGAATGAAACTTCTGTTTCATGTGATTCTTCAAGTATTTATTAATATATCAATCTTGATTAATTAGTAAACTAATAGCATCTTCATCTACACTCAGTTTTATAAGTATTTTCATTCTTCATGATGAGTAGAGAGTGAGATTGAAAGTATTAAAATATACAGAAGTATCTAAGTATTCTTTCAGCACTTTTATATTTAATTCTGTAGATATCGAAATTGCATAAGTTTCTTATTATGATAATTATTAAATCTCTTTATATTGATATTATTGAGTTGCATGCATATCAGCTATTTATTATTATTATAGTTTTAACATTGCTCAGAGTCACTGTGACACTGTATCTATACTTATATTCAAAGATTCTCTCATATTATCATTAGATATGATTATATTATTTATTGAATATATAATATCTGTGAAATCTGAAGAAGTATAATTATATGAATATTTCATATATCTGAGTGTCAAAACTCTCAGATCTTTCACTAATATTCTCTTTATAAGATCTTATTGCAGAGTCAGAGTGACTGATAAGTAAGCTTCTATCTAAGAACTCAGTATCTGCTTAACTGTGTTTCTCTTTCTTATACATTGTTATGCATTCAGATATCTCTTGATGAATAATCATTTCTAATGAGAAGATAATACATGAATAATCATTTCTAATAAGAAGACAATGAACATTTTTCTAGTATAAGAGATCTACACTGAATAGATCAGTATGATATTGATAGGTCTTATATAATAAAGAGAAAAATGTTAGAGAAGAAAAGAAAGAGAAAGTGTAGAAATCAGCAATCAGAGTGAATATTTATACATGTATGTAATAATATACACAGTGAAGCTTCAGAGCAGAAGAATCTATACATGTTTATAACAGCTGAGAATTGATAATTGAGAATGACTGAGAATCAGAGTGTATATGTTCAAGAGTGAAGTGAAAGAATCTATGAAGTGAAATGAAATAGTCTATATAATTGATCGGGCGCAGCCTGTCACATGTAGTATTATATAGTAATATTATCTTTATTTAATATATACACTATTAATATTCTTTATATACAGTTATTATATAATCTGTATCAGAGATATATATAGAAAATAAATCTTTATTATTAGAATAAATAATTACAGTAATTCTCTATTTTTATATTATAAAAATAAGTTATTCTTATTTCTTTCTTCTCTCTTTTCTCTTCTTCAAATCATCACTAATTTCAAGCTGATATGAAAACTATTAAAACACTCTTAGAAATTTTTAAATTAAAGAGTATAGACTAATCAAATTTTTAATAAATATAGTAGAAATTAAATTATCTTCTATAATAATTAATTACTTATTCTCTCTTAATAAAATAGTAGTTATATTCTCTCTTCTCTTTAAATGAATATAATGTAAGAAAAGTAAGTATTATATCAGATTATAATAATTAACACAGTCTCAGTATACAGAGCTATATATACACAGTGTATACTGAATTAAGAAGCTGTGTGAGTTATATATCAGTATCAGTATCTTAATAAGAGCTGTGTAGTGTGAGAAAGCTGTAACTCTTATTATTATTATATTATTATTATTATTATTCTTTCATTATACTCATATGCAAGCGGAGCTTATGATGAGTTCTTGCATGATGTTAAATACAGGTCAAGTGTTGGTTATACAGGAGGAAATACAGGTGTTGAGATCACGCCAAGATAACAAGAACATAGGAAAATACAAAGAAGTGACAATTAGATACATGCAATAATAACTTCCCAGCCCAGGAACATAGAGTGATTCATTGAAGTGATTTGTACACCTCTGTATTTATTAGAAACCTGAGGTGCTTGAGTTCCGGATTTAATGTATTCTCTGCGGGTTTCGAACCCACGCGCCTTGGTTTCCCACGCCAAGGCGCTACCAGGTGGCCGCATTAACCATTCGGCCACCAGGGCAGCTGTAACTCTTATTTCTATATATAAAGAGTGAATTACTGAAGTAAGTATATATATATTATATAAAAATAACACTTTTTAATAATACTCAGTTTCTAATATTATAAAAATAGAGTCTCTCTGTAAGATTCATTTTTATCAGAAGTTAAGAGATTTTATATTTCTCAAGATTATCTTTATATATCTTATCTATGAAATTAATAAGAGAAATCATTAATTTCAGTATTCTATTCTTAATATTATTCAAGTAATAGCAGAGTTCACTCTGATCACACTTTTTAAGTGTATATTTTCTAATTATTCATATTTATACAGATATATACTAATTATTTATTAAATAATATAGATAATAACTTATTACAGCTGTATTACTCTTACTATAAAAAATATATAATTAATAATAAATATTATAAAGACTCTGAAAAGTAAGTCTTTTACTATAACTTTACAATCTTAATTTTTTTTATTTTTTATTTTTATTTTTTTCTTTCTCTTTTTTTTTTTATTATTATAATTTTTTCTTGTTTTTATTTTATTTTTTATTTTTTTATTTTTTTTATTTTTTATATTTTTTTTATAATTAAAATTATATAATTTATAATTTATATTCAGAAAAGTAATGATATTTAGTAATATTCTTTATTGAATTTTTAATAAATAAGTACTATATTATAATATTATATAAGTGAGAAATGATTTTATAATCTTATTCAATATCATTCTTAATAATAAGATCAGAATGAAAATGTGACTAAGAATTTAAATATATTCTTTATCTAAGACTAGATTTTTATTTGAAAAGTGAATCTGAGATCTTTAATATTTGAAATAACATGATTTAGAATTAATATAATGAATATAAATCATGATCAGAAGTAATGCTTTTAGGCAACATGATAACTGTAAAGTTTGATCCTGGTCTCAGACACGGTCACACGGTCAGTCTAGTCTCACCTTAGATAGATTACACACAATAACGTTATTCTCCAAGATAATATGTACACTCACGAAACTTTTATTCCTCTCACGTACTGTGAGCACGACTTTCTCCCCCGCCACGGGCATCACGATATAGAATTCTCCGGAGTAAGCACTCCACGCATTGATTATTGATGTAGGCAGTGAGACCAGCCATATGAATAAATTAGATACGCACAGAGAGCAGAAGTAGATTATAGTTATTCCACAGCAGCATGGGGAATAAATAATGCATGCTCTACATGGGCCACGCCTGTGAGGAAGGATGCAGTTATTCGTTGAACATGATCATCTGGGCCATGTAGAATCCTCAAGCGTCGAACACCCCATCAGAAATGGGCGCGATGGCGGAGTGGTTAACGCGAGAGACTAGAACTGACGACGAATGTCTTTAACTATCTTATCTCTTCCCTTCGGGGGCGTAGGTTCGAATCCTGCTCGCGTCGATATTTTTTCGTTCTTTTTCTTCTTTTTCTACTAAATTTTTCTTATTTTATACTGTTTCCAAGCGCTCCTCTCACTACTCTCTCTGGTTTCCCATTTGCTATATATATATTTTTTCAAGGGAACAACTCGTTTCCATCCTTCCCGGAGGCAGCCGTGTTTGTCACAGACAAGACGCTAGCCTTGCAAAATCTTGCTTGAGGCGCATGAGTGATGAAATAATGGCTGAATCACAGCAGGGCTTACCAACCTTGGAAGTGTCGGCTTGCCTCTGATCCCTGGTCCGGACGGATCCACTGGCGCATGGCTGACAGCCAAATTATGCATGATGTCGGTGACAACTCATAAATTTGTGCTGAAGGCAGATTCATTCCTCAGTAAGCCGTAGTTACTTTTGAAAAAAAAAGAGAATTGCACTGGGCAAGTAGCTGGCATCCCTCATATTCGCCAATAATAGTGACACCCGGGCTGCCGGAATCTTGCTAGAAATCCTGGAAAATATCTTCAAATTCCAGCATGCCCCAGATGCCACTGGATTCGAATTAAGTCGTGGTTTTGTGGAGGGCGGCGGATGGCAAAAGGCGTTAAGGCTGTCAGGCAAACGGGCGGCGACTGTTATTAGAAAGAATACAGCCTGTAACTAATAATATGAGAGCTTGTCCAGTTGTCATCCCCGTTCGCCGCGCCGTATTCGGTGTCGGCTCGCCATCGAAGTTCATCCTCCGATCATCCATCGTACTCGGCTAGTTTAGACTCCGCCCTCGACCTAAAAGCCTTGTCTCTCTCTAATATTCCGCCGCCTGCCTTTTTTTTGGTCTCATGGCGGAGGCTGGGCAGTGGGCAGGATTATTATATATATCACCGCTTGTTTAGGTTATAATTAAAACTGTGTGTAAGTAGGTTGACAATATTCCCATATTCCTTGATTTCCCTTCTTAACTTCTTTCTCTTGTCATGTTTTATTATTATTAGCAAAAAAGGATCTCCTTTTCTCAACTAGATCAGTGTTCCAAATTCTCCGCCTGCAAGCTCTAAAGACTAGATAAGAGCTCCTTCGAAGTTAATATTAATCCCCCACGAAGCCCATAAGGTACTTTTTTTGCTCGTATGGCGGCGCGGGGCACCCACAGCTTGTCCCGCCTTACACAAGAACAATTAGCTACCTTCGCACTGATCCGAGCGTAGCCAACGTTACAGAGCATAGGCCTATACCTGCGTGTTCAAAAGCACTCTACGGAGTAGAGTTTTGCAAGAAAGGCCTGAGAAGGAAGAGGCTGATATACGGCTAACCACCGCCCAGTGGCCAGGGCTGACAACTCGAAGGGTCTCCTGGTCTTAAAAGCGATCCTCGTTTGTTAGAGGATTCAGGATTGAGCTACTGTCAATTTCTCCCACATTTGTTGTTGGATTTGTTGCTGGGTAATTTTTCGCATCCAACTACCACAGCACTTTTCCTGTGTATCATTGATTGTCAGGTGGAGGATATATACCAGCCCCGTGAAACCTCGGGAAACATCGTGGCCGTCCAGCAAGCCCTCCCGTTCCACACGGGATCCTGAAATATCCGGGGCTTCAAAGAAATTTGCTACCGTCAAACTTGCTTGGAAAATTAAATCAGCCAGTTCGATGGCCCCCTGGTAGGGGTCATCATTGCTCCCTTATTTCATTTTGAGTCATGTTTGTCAATCTAGACTCGACAGCAGACGCGACGGCGGCCCATACGCACGAGTTTTCGAACCAGGAGAACTCTCCACCGACCGCCTCTCTTCTTTCGCGATCTGCTGCTGGGATTTTTCCGTTGGGCTTTGTGTCGTCTACCAAGAACCGCTGGAATTCTGGAGTTCCGCAGCCAGTGATGATCCAAACATCGACCACTACGTCGCCGCTTACAACACCTCGTTTATCGATTGATGAAGACTATGTTCCAGCAGATCCCACTAACATTGGTCTGCATAGTCGAGCGCGGGAGGCTTCAGCTATAGATACGAAAAAGCAGCTGCAGCACCGGACAAAGTCGTCCTTTAGCTTCGCGCATCCACCACCTAGCACCCGTCGCAAACGTCTAGGACTCCGGCCCAAATTGCTACTTCAGCTGCACAGAGTATCGCACATATCCCGACCTATACCTACTATTGATGTTCTATCATCTACCATTTGTTCCGGACCTAGAAAATTCCCATGCAGATATAGGGGAAAGGACAGCCCGTCTGCGAACGACCTCCTACTCGTAACCAGCGACGCTTATGAGCAGGCTGGTGCTGAGGATGATAGGAGTGTTTCCTCCGATGACGATCCGCAGAATGACAGAGACGTGGTTGCGACAGTATGTCACCATCGCAAAGACAGTGGGAAAGCGGGCGCGATGGCAGAAATATCTCTACAGCAGGGGAGCCGTTGGGAGGTTTCCCATCTTCCCTCTGGCGGTTATGAGTTTACAGGGACTACGGAGAGTGGAGAGCAAAGATGTGCCCGTTGGGTATTACGGGGAAAGGCGGGAAGTCGTCGGGTTTCTGGATCCAGCAATGGTGCGGACAACACTTTCGACGATGGCAAGCGGTTTACATTCAGTATAATCGACCCCAACACCCGTCGACACCCAGTTTTAGCGTGGATGTCCCGCCAGGGAATTGATATTCTTGATAAATACCCTCTCTTTTCCGCTCAAACTCAAAGGTCATCGTCCCCAGCCTCTCCCAAAGGCCCACACTTAGCCGCCGCAACCACTCCACCGCAGACCAACGATTATAGTGATCCGCCTTTAATTGAAACCGATGATCACCTCCGTACGCTCATTGTCGTCAGTGGAGTTTGGGTTGCATTCCGAGAAGGGTGGCCTCAGACTCCCCTTTACGCAGACGTACTCCCTACAACACCGACGACTGCCGGTCCTAGAACTTCTATTTCTTCCTCTTCACAACAACAGCAGCAGCAACAACAACAACAACGGTCACAATTAGCACAAAATTCGAGAAACGATACAGAGAAAGTAGGTACAGTAGATGACAGCACGAGGAGTAAAAGCTTCCCGTTCACCGGGGGCCGACTACTACTGGGAGGCCCAGGTCTGATCCACCGCGCAAAGACATTAAACGAAAATTCAAAGAAATCCGCCTCTCCCCGACGAACAGTACCTCAGAGGAAGGAAAATAGACTAGTCGATGACGTGAAAGATGTCCCCAGCCATGATACGCAAAGCCCCTTGCATGCCGAAAGCTTGACAATTGCCAAGCAAACGCAAAAGAGGCGGGGGTCCAGGCGCAGATCCAGAGGTGACCGTGGACAATATCTAAGCCCAGAAAATAGCCTTCCGCCTCCTCGGTACTCCTATGGGGAAGATAGCCAGAACGATGCTTTGTCGAGTGCAGCCACTGTTTACATCGGGCAGGGTAAACCGGAGCAGCAGTCAAAAGGCAAGCGGTGGCGTAGATTAAGCAATTTGCTTGGTATGAAGGGACCGGCGGCGACTTGAGTTTCCAAGGCGAATTTTCTGTCCCTATTTTGTATTCTGTATTTCAATGTATTTTCCGTAAACTCATCATGGCTTGTCGAGCGGTCTTTTTTTTCCCTTCTTTTTTTCTATTTGGGAGGGATCAATGACATTAGCGTAGGGGATCTCATATCCGTTGTTTTAGTATTTTATCGTCATATATTTTAAATTCTAAACTTTTCTATCCATATCTAACCGCAAATGATCCGTACATTGGAACGTGCCTAAATGATTGTAGTGCGCAGGTCGTAATGTTTTCACAAGCTTGTATCCTAAAGAATCACACGTGATGGGGCTGACAAGATGCGGCTCTTGGCGGTTTTGCCCAAACTCGGCATATCGCATCAAACGACAACTCTGCAGATTCCCTCACTCCTTGTATTAGCTCTGTGGGATTTCTCTCCTTTCCTTGTAAATTTATCATCTCATCTATCTACGTTCGTTTGCCTCACTTGTTTGGTTTTTCTTTTTCTTTTCCCACTATCGACTCATTTCCCGTTTATCAGTTTTGTTTCCCTTGCCCAACCAAGCCCAAAGCTCAAAGCGCAAGCCAAAATCTCATATCACTGCTTGCATCTATCCTTCAAAATGGCAAACAATGATACAAACAACAAGTATCCTAATTTCGGTGCACAGTTGGATGAGAGGATATCTGAACTCAGTAACTCTCTAGTCGGGCCAGGCCATTTGTTTCAATCAAATTCCCAGTTCAGTCAACCATGGCAGGGTGCAACACCATACACACCCGGTGGAGGAGAAGTGGGTGGAGGAGCAGGGGGAGGTTGCCGTAACGACACGTCTCAGCCTCATTCATATCTCACTTATGATGGTCAACAAGATGTCCCTGCAAATAATGAGAATCAAGCAAGGTCAGATGAACTCTCTAGTGAACTAGAGCTTTTACAAAAAAAGCGTGCAGAAGCATTGGCATCAATATCCCAGAAGCGAGCTGCAAGTCGTGGGGAGAATCCTGGAAAACCAGACGTTGCACGAGGGAGCTCGGGGACTCAGGCTTCTATGGCTCAAGGCTCAAATTCTGCCTCTAATCAACCGCAACGCGCAAAGAGATCCGCGGTTGATCAAAGTGTTGAGAGTCAAGGTAAAGGTGAAAGCTACGCTGGGAGGATGGGTGCAGTTGAACACCAAAAGTCTCATCCCGGCCAGGTAGCTTCAGCCGAGGATATTGATGGTTTGCTCGCCGAGGGTAGAGTGTCAGCAGCAGCGAATGCTTCCAAATCAACTGCTAAGGGCCACCTTAGTGGTGAATATGCTAGTACTCTCCAACGGGCTTCTATTCTTTCAGACGAAAACAGTTCTCCAGCAACAAATTCCAACGCTCACAGACATCAAAGTACACATGAACCAAGCCCCAAACTGGGATTTGATGGCCAGAAGGTCAGCTACACTCCTGCCGTAAGCGAAACAGCGGGATCAAGTGTTGCGGACAACATCGATGTTACTCCCCATAAGGATTTGAAGTCCATGTCAGGGCAATATTCGCGATCTGAGCACAAATCATATCCAGAGCGACGTGTGTATGAACCACCCAGGCCTATGGCAGACAGCCCTAATCCAAAGTCACGTGTATATGGACCACCAAGGCAACTCCCGACTCGTTCTGTTTACCGAAGCAATGGCTCACCTCCCACGTCTGACTGCAACCCGGATAGACATCCGCCTTCTGAAATGCTAGCTAGCTGGGAAGCTAATAATGAGTTCTCCAAGTTACAATCCAATGAAGTTGAAGAGCTCCGCGAATGGCTTGAGTACACTGGTTACTATGATGAAAATTATCGTCGTGGAAAGCTACATCGCTTCAAGCGACTAACTGCTTTGGAGCGTGAGAAGGAGGAGCTTATGAGAGAAGAGCTACAGGAACGTGACGCTTTGGCCAAAAGCAGCGACCGGGGTTCTTATTCAATTGCTCGCAGTCATTCCTTTGATTCGTTAGGCCATGATCCGCAGGCATCTCCTTCCATGCCTCCTCCTCGGTTCATTCCCAGGATCAACACCAAGTCTATCACACCAAAACCTGACGATACCGAAAGAGAATTAAACTCAGGAGTGTCTGATGAGCATATATCCAACCATGCCTCCTCTGGCAAACTCTCAAAAAGACAGTTCTCTGATTTTGAAAGTGGTGCTCAGCCGCATGAAAGAGTGGAGAAAATGGTGCGGACTCAATACAACGGCAACCCAAAGGGTGTGTTACATAGCGAAGAAGGTTGGTCGCCAGCAAGAAAATCACGAATGAAGGGATTGTGCACTTGAGACAAAAACTGACAAAATATCCAGAAGCAGTCCCAATCTTCATGAATAAAGACCGCATGAACATGATCAAAGACCATAAATCCCCTAATGGTGATAACTCCGTGCTTGGAGAAGATAAGAAGTTCACTGATCAGGCCTCTGGTAATTGGGGTAAAAACACTGATCCTTTCATTCAAAATTCTCAACAGCAACCAGATGAGGACCAGGTGGATTCACATGAAGGCCGGGGCGAATTTGCCTTTTGGCGAGGCCGTGGCCGTGGCCGTGGTCGTGGTCGTGGATTGGCTCGTGGCCGCGGACGCGGTCGCGGGGGGTTCAGTGCAGGTTCGACTCGTGGAGTTTATTCATATAGTGGAGTGAAAGGGTCTGAAGAGTTGGGCCTAGTGGTAGGAGGTGTGTTCCCTAAACAATATGAAGCCCTTCTTGGCCAATGGTTGATTTATTAACGTGTCGACTCAGACGTCAGTTACTTCTTGATCAAGTGCGTTGCATATGATATGGTCAATACAGCCAAAATTGAAGTATGCGTCATTATCCCTACCTCTTTTTATCCGAAGCTACTTGACTTATGAGTAAAAAGATGAACCTCTGACAAACTCTGGCTAGGGAACTTGGGCAACACAACTAAAAAACGTGGAGAAATTTGCTGAGGCTTTCGATAATTCTCGTCATGTGGTGCTTGTCTTTTCTGTGAACCAGAGCGGGGCATTCCAGGGTTATGTATGAAAATGAAGCCTTCGCGGACCCTCTTTAACGTAAAATCCTCAACTAACCCTTGCTTACAGGCACGGATGGACACTCGTCCCGGGGATCCAGGCGTTACGACCCCGAGTTGGTTCAAAAGACCTGGCTTGCCGCTCGGTCCACCGTTCAGAATCACCTGGTACAATACCGTGGAAACAATGTTCAAATATGTTGGACATCTTAAAAACCCTTACAATGAAAACCACGACGTCACCTATGCCAGAGATGGTCAGGAATTAGAAGCAGATTGCGGTCGCGTTCTCTGTGGACTTCTTGATAAATCACTGGACTTCGTGTCCCCGTCAGGCTAGCTTCGCATGGAAAGAGTCAGCGAGGAACCATGTCAAAAAGCTGACCCTGAGGAAGTTTGTAGGCCTCTTACCCGTTCCGCTGTGTACGTGTCGTGTGCATGTACCACGCGCGGGGGTTACGTTTACAATCATTCTTAAAAAATTGGTTATTTTTGCCAGTTGATGGGAAAAGGGAGGCCAACTTTTTTTTTAACAAACCGAAAATACATTATGGTAGACTTGATCTTGATCTACCAACGGCAGCTACAGACCAATATTGAGTGCTAAGCAGCGGCCCGTTTTTCATAGCGAGGTCACAACAAATCGCCACGCATATACAACCCAATGCTCTTAATAGATTATCAAAGCCATGTATGCATGTATGTGTACACACATACATACCACCAGCGTTCGTTTTTCATTTTTTTCTCAGCGTTCGAGTTGGTACTTACTGCCTATCTGAAAGCTCTCCAGTTTTATCTTGTAGCAGAGCAACATCAACAACAACGCTACGTTCCATCAGCGCATGTTGAGCTTTGAGCTTTGCTAATACCTCGTCCATTCTCTTTCTATACGTGCTTTTATTTTATTTTATTTCCCTCCTTCTCACGCTACATGCTATTATATTGGACTGATCATTGGAACTTGGAAAGTCCACTTATTATACGGCATCGTAGCGAATTTGGGGGGGGGGGGGGAGAAAAATAAATTATTTTGATCAAATTGACGTATGACATTTTTTGTCCCCACGACCCCTTTGTGCATATACAGCTCATTCCCGCTTGCTATAATCCCCCCCCCCCCCCAAAAAAAAACCACAGATACACATGTCATCAAAGCTCTATACACTCAGTCAGTCACTGATCAAGAGTAGGAGATGATGGTGAGAGTGCGCCAGTAGTATGAGAGTATATCACAGATGAGTGAGAAATGATCAGAATAATTTAAATCAAGATTAAAACATTTCTTTACCAAATATTTGAAACTTGATTTGATAGAATGAAAAGATGTTTATGTGAATTACATTATATTCAACTATAATCATGATCAAGCTTCTCTTATAGAAATAACTGGTTGGAGTTTGTTTTGTTTTTCGAGATGTAAGCCAGCATCATAAAAAACAAATTTAAAAATTAAAAATTTAAAAAAATTTAAGAAATTGAAAAGAAATAGTAGAAAAATCCCAAAGCCGAAACCATTCCTATCAACACCAAATATGAAAAATTCCAACCCAAGGGGTAAAAAGGGGGCCCGCAGATGAAAAGAAAACAGATTAAAAAACCTCTAAGTCAAACCAAAGCCTCCCAGCCTTCGCTGAACAGTTCCCCCCCTAACGCACAGCCTCAGCCTTAAATGTCTTGAAGGAGTGAATCCGCGCATGGATAACATCTTTCGGCTCGTCTGTATCCAACTCCCTTAAAATCCCATTCGCAACATCATACAAAACCCCATGAAGCTCCAGCCCGCGCTCCTCAATCGCATCCAGGACGACACTATTTTCCTTCAGCGTGCGCAGGCCCTGGCGCACATTGATCTCCGCCAGCTTCTGCGCTGCCTCTTGGGAACTCAGACTATTGAGGAGCCCTATGTTCTGCTCGCGAAGGTGGCGGAGGGGCATGAGCCAGGTATCCAGGATGCCTAGCCGCTTATTCGCGAGCGCGGCGGAAATGCCACCGCAAGATGTGTGGCCGCATAACACGATGTGCTTGACTTGCAGATACACGACTGCGTATTCGATGACGGAGGAGGAGCTCATGTCGTTGTAATGGATTACGTTGGCGATGTTACGGTGGACGAAGACGTCGCCGGGTTGCAGGCCGAGGATGGCTGTTTCAGGGCATCTAGAGTCGGAGCAGCCGATCCAGAGGATTTCTGGGTGTTGACCCGTTGCTAGTTTGGGGAAGAGGGCTGGGTCGTCCATTGCGGTTTTGGTTGCCCATTGTCTGTTTTTCAATAGGGCAACTCGATAAACGTCTAGAATGGGAAAGGAACGAGGTTAGCTTCGATTCCCCCAATAAATGCGGAGGGTATGAAAAACGTAGAACATTTAACAAATGCCCAACGATGGATCTGGGAAAAAGGGCGCTGATCTAGCATGGAAAAGTAACGTCCTAACAATAGCCTTTTTGCCACAGGATAGCATAGAAATGTGAAAGTCAGGGGGAAATAGTATACCGTCTGGAGTTTGAGAAACTTGGATTGCACCGTTTGCAGTCATCGTAACCAAACAAATAGAAAGTTCTTTCACACGTGGATTCCCCTCAGCGACTTAGGGTAACAGGGCTCGAGGTAGATGTGATTGTTCGTGGAGACGCTCAAGAGGTCGGGTTTCACCTCCCGGGAGGAATGATAATCGCAACGACTAGAAAGTGAGGAGTATTTCTAAGCTCGACACAGCCGAAATTTGTATCCACTTTGGAAAATAACAGTGTTATTACGCCGTAAGTTTTGAAGCTCTCCTGAAAGCCAATTGGTCTCGTGGGTATGGCTAGACTGAGCTGAAAAACCTAACGATGCAGCAGCGTTAAAAAAAAACGAAGTCAAGCTATAATTTATGAATTAGTTTCCAGTTATGAAAAGTGTCAACATTCATGAAAAGGGTTTCCTTTTGGGTGTTTGTGATATAAATCTGTGTTTCTTTTCCTTAGAAGAAGAAGGGCGAGTCTCCACCAAGCAGATAGGAAATGGAAAGAGCCAGCAGCCGGGATGTAAATCAACAGCGCGGCGGGAAACCGGAAATTGAAATAAATATGCTGTGAAGGGGACCAAAGAACTGGTGCCTTTTTTTTTTTTTTTTTTTTTTTTTGCCGCCTGTTTCACAGCCAAGCAAAGCAAGTAGTCCCGCGCCCAGAGGGGGGAGGGAATATGACTTTCGGGTGCTTCCTTATATACCTGCAGAGTACAAGTAAAAAGGTAAGGCTGCCTGAAGGGTGTGGGGGGTAATGCAGAGGGGGAGCTGCTGCGCTGGAAAGCAATGCACCAAATCACAAAGATATAAGATAGCTGACTTTCCATAAACAACTGGAAATCTTGTGGACGCCAAAACTTGGCCTAGCCTCTAGCTCTGCCTTAGAAATGGGTGGGAAAACGGTGAGGTAAGGGCAGTTTCTGCAGATGGAAAGAAACCAGTTACACTGCCAATCAATGCCCAGGAGCACGAAGAGGACAGATGTATGCCGAAGAGAAATATAGAAATGGGATATCTAGGCAAAATGCGACCTTCTAACTTCCCCAATCGCACAAGCAATGGCTTAGAGGGAGGTGTAACAGGGAACGAGTCGCATCCTAAGGGCGGGGTATATGATTATTGCAAATCATTGATTCGCCATCATCTACCATCGTTCATTTTGCGTGGTGATGATAATGGGGTTTTGAATGTAGCGGGGCCAGGTATGCTTTGTCTAACCCACTCAACGCCCTCGGCCGGGGGAAGGGGAATTTTGAAGGCGGCAAACAGAACGCAAAGAATAACCAGCGAGCAAAGCAATAATAATAACTACATGCAGAGCGTACTTAATCACTTAATTGATGAGAGCCCTTCCTTGTCAACTCAATCGATGACCAGCTCCGGGTATTCCACCGTTTTCGTTCCAGCGGCAACTAGCTGGCTCAGGAGGCGAGGGCGAGGGAAGACGATGACGATAACGATGGCGACAATAAGGTGCTGGTAGGATAGAGAGGAGACGTGGTGATGAAAAGAGAGCTATCACGGTCTGGTGCTTGGGGGGAAGAAACCCATTCTTATTTCTCTGGGTGGAGGGGGAGAATGGGGAAAGAGGCGGGAGGGAGGGGAAATGGGGGCGGGGTGGGCTGAAAAAGAAGAGAGAAACAAAAGGAACTGGGGAACAGGCCCCGAAGCGGTTGAGTTGTGCACCGGTGTGCTCGTGGCCAGACGGCTGGTCTGGTGGGATTGGGGAGTGGATGGTCTGCAGAAACAAGCTGCTGTCCACACGGCCGGCCGTACGGCGTCGTGCGTAGTTTTTATCACCTGGAAATACATAAGACGCAGCAGATTGATACAGGCTATCGAACCAAAGGATGGACCTTGGCACGCTGGCAAGCGTTTCCGGGGGATGAGATATACGCGATGTATGTAGAAGTACCCCGTACACCCTATAGTTTTACTTTAGTTTCAGTCTGGTTATTCGAAAGATTTACTTACGCGTTCTATATTTCTGTGACCTTGCCCGCTGCTACATATTTTGTGCGGCCCTTAAACCTCATAGATTGGAGCACGCTGGACTTGTAAGATATGATTGCATAGTTAGTAGTCTGGATAATCCGTAAACAGATGAGATGATGTGAAGCGTTCTGAGGGGAACAAACAAAAACAAACACTCCATAGCATACATCACATGACGCTCTCCATAGCTTCCACTAGCTTGTTGTCGCTTGTTTGAGCCTCCTTTTTAAGCCTCCGGAGAATGTTCAACCTTTCCGAGAAATCAATCTAACTATTTCTACCAGGGTCGAGTCAGCTCCAATGGGTCTGTTATTCAGAATAGCCAATAATAATACTAACTACTACGTATATACGAAGTATTATTATTATTATTATGTTAGTGCGGGGAAGACACACCTCGAATCCCCGATATTGGCTCTTCTCGACAAAAAGGACACGTCCATATAGATTATTTAACTAACGAACACGTACGGAGTACGGACTGTAATTAAATGATGATGATGATGGCATGCAAACTTTGCCCTGACGAGGTGAGGTGCCGCTGCCTGTCCCCTTGGCCTGCCTGCATTATGAAACATACACAGAGGCTGATGCCATACGCAGCATACATAATAAACGACGCATCAATCCCATCAAAGGAAGACCTAGAACCTTAAAAAACTTAAAAATTGCTCAACCCCCTGGAATGAGCTCATTATTATTTCTTGCCAAAGGTTCCCCAGCGCTGTGGTGATGTCAGTGGAAGGCCTGCCAAGACACACTATCGACTGGCCTTTGTCCGCATAACAAATCGTTCGTCCAACCTAGCGGAACGTTTAAACAATCGAACAGACTAAAAAAGACGAATACGTATTAACCTCCATTACGCCGAAAAGCCGAGTATCCCTATTGAGAAATACTTCTTCCGTTCTACCTTACTCTCTTGGTCTTACCATTAGTATGGCACAGCCAAGTTTCCATATGGTAAACCCTAATATTTTAGTGGCATGCTCATCATCATTCTGGAAGTAACATCTTCAAATATCTCTCTTCAGCGTACGTAAAGAGAGCTTCTATTATATTTAATATATTGTGTCATTGGTTATATGAGCTGCCGGGTCCGGGCTCTAACCACTAGGCCAAAAAGACCATAAGACAACTGGCTGCTTGCCAGCCGCGCCCGGCACCCATCCTTATTTGTTTGTGGTGGCTTGCCGGCGCCTTGCGGCCTGCCCCGGCCCCTGGGCCTACCGTTTTATTTTTTATAAAATAATTGACTTGTGAAGTTGTGATTGATATTGAGATATTCTTCTTCTTCACAGTTTTAAATAAATCTATGAGAATATTTAATTATCTTGAGATAATTTATTGGAAAATTTAATATATCTGTAAACTTGAAAATAGCTGCTTTTAAAAAATATACTGACTGACACTGAACAGTAACTATTCTAGTCAATTCAATAACAAATAGATGAATAAAATAGAAGAGTTCATTATAGTTTTTCAGAATCAACTATTAAATATTATATAAAATGTGTAATATTAACTATTTTTCATCTTGAGATTAATAAAAAATATCTAGTATAAGTATTATAGAGAAGAGATTATTTTTGTGAAGTAATTATATAAAAATTCTCTTTATTAATATAAGTTTATACAGTCATACTATTTAATTTTAGTAAGTATTAAATTATTAATATTAAATTTTTAACTAGTAATCAATTATTCTTTGAACTGATAGAACTTAGATTAAATCTAAGTAACTTATAAAATAGAAAAAAAGCTGAATTCTATCTATATAATAGATAAAATTCAGAGAAAAAAAAATTATTCTAAGAATTCTTTAATGAAATTATAAAGAGATTATATCTATTATAAGAAAAGAATTGAGAAATAATCAGTAAAATTTATAATATTATAATATTCAATATTCTCTTGTCTTGAAGATAATAATATAATTAGTGAAATTTTCTACTATTTTTCTGCTTATTCACTGAAAGCCACTAATTTAGCTTTTCTCTTGACTATATTAAGACAGTAAGATATAGCGCTAATTATCATCATCTTTAGACAAGAGATAATCTTTTAAATATTCTATTAAATATATAGTCTTTTCTATTCATGAATAAATATATGAATTTTGATTTGAAATTGATACAAGATGAAGTTTTAGAGTATACTGTAATAGAGATTTTTTAAAATCTTTAATATAAAATCTTCTCTAGAGATTATATCAGTTTATTTCTCTGATCTGAACTCAATTGCATTAAAATCTTATAAAACTGTGATTCTGTGAATGCAGAAAAATGATGAGAATGAGAAAAATCTTTTTTATAATAATATACTTTGAGAGATAATTAGAAATGTTTGAGACTATAACAGAGAAGCAGTTGCACGAGCTTATAGTAGAGATAGACATATATAGCTGTTTACTATTAAACAGTTACAGAGACAGAGAGTGACTGTACAGGATTTTAATATTATTATTAATCCCATGATAATGAGAAGACAATCTTCAAACTTGAGAATGCCACATAAGCCCTCATAATGATGATTTAGGGGGCCCCTAACTAGTCAATCATTCCAGCAGCCCATCCCAGCCAAAAAACATATCAATCCGATCCCGCAGAGACACTTTCTTTGGCGCCACAACGGCTGTGCTGGTTGTAGTGGGCTCCGAGGCTGTGCCACTACTGCCATCATTATTCTTCAATTTCGTTTGGGTCGAAATTCGGGTAGGGTCATATCTATCTTCAGTCCCTATTCGTGGAGCGGGACCAGCTTCCCGAACAATTTGAGCTTGAGCTGCCTTAGTTTGCATATCCCCTCGCTCTCCTGCATCATTCTCGACGCTCCTTGCATTCTCAACGTTCCTAACATTCTCGCTATCCATAAAAGTTACCTCCCTCCCATTAACAGCATTGAAAATATGCCCCAACAGACCTCTGTCAACGACGGACGCCTTCTCCCGAGCAAACCAGTTGAAACTACCGAGGGGGCGCTCGACCTGAACATAGCTTCGTGGACAAAGTGGTCCAAGGCACTCTTGTGGACTGATTTGGCTTTCAATACTTGGAGGCCCAAGATGTTGAGTAACGAGGACCACGACCACGGATAGTAGGATTATTTTCATCGAGCCCAGTGGAACACGCGCGACATAAATCTGAACCAAGTCACTTAATTCCTGCATAATGGCCATGGAGAAAAGGACTACTCGAACCAGCTGATGTACACACCAATAAGGCATGCTTTCCGTTTCAAATGTCGGTAACCCCAAATAACCCAGATCTTCCAGGTCATCTTGCTCCCATTTGCTCCCAGCTTTCTCTAGAGCGTTTTCCCCAGACTCCGTTTCCTCCTTCAAGACCGGATTTCCTAGAGTTTCCATTTGCAGCTGACTACGGAGCAATGGCGCATACTCTGTCTGGGTCGCTGGTTTCTCAAAAAACAGTTTCGGCACCCAAGTTTGCGAAATTGATGCCCCGTAGGGGACTTCCCAAGTTATACGAAAACACCCATCGAGCTCATCTTCCTTACAGAAAATCCTTATTCTCGTTGTCCCAATATCAGCAGCGTTTGCGGTCCTTTTGCCCACACGGAAGTCCCTGCTACCCTTCTCCATTGTCCATTCGAAATCACCCCCGGGTCCATCGCTGATAATAACTGGAATGAAGCCCTCATCGGCACAGAGAATTTTCTGGTAAAGAGACAACGCGCAAACCGCTGTGTACTCCACAACAGCTCTCGTACGAGCTCTCGGGTGACACCTCAAAACCATTCTTACTTCATGGTTCAAGATACGGTTATCGCGCGACTCGCTTGTCAGCAGTTCTACAGCTCGCATCGATAAAGCAAATGGTTCAGCGATATCGAAGTCCGCAATAAAACCCGCGCCGTCGGGAGCCACGCTCAGTAAACCTCTAGCTCCGCAATCCAACTTCTTATTAACTGAACCGTGGAGGATGGCTAACTTAACAGTCCCTTTACCTCCTTGTTTTTCGATTGGTAAACCGGGTATCTTCAGAAGTTGCCAGCCGCCCGGCTGCAGGGGGCCTAGTTTTACTTTCAAATCGAATCCAATAGTATAAGCCGTTGAGACAGAGGTTTCTGGGGATAAAATATAAAAATCTCTGCCGAGTTCTTCTACTATGGCGAGCTCTGGGGCTGGAATAACGGATTCCATGTGGAGGTGCTGTCCCAAGTCGCATTTCTTTGCCAATTCTTCCGCCGAATTCCATGGCATGCTCAGTTGGGATGATGTGGAAGGACTCGGCAACGTGATTGGCTTTTGAGCCTGGCTCTGGTCCAGTATGCCCGTGCTTTGAGAATCACTCTTTTCACTTGCTGGAGTGTTCTCTTTATGGCCTTTCCCGTGTTCTGTCGAGTATCTAGTGGGGTGCAAGGATCGAGATTGAGAGTACTCCTTTAATATTCCATTACTCTCGTTTGTCTTGAGCCAAGTTGAAACGTACACCGACTTATCATTATCTTTTTGACCACTCTCTTTTTCTTGGGTGGTAATTCCGACGTCACTTTGCCAAGGACCCCGGATGTTGCGGCGGGAACCCGTCAGATCAGGCTGCGGGAAGAAGCGGTCAAAGAGAGGAGGAACTTGTCTCACTGCGCCATATGAAAATTTTCTAGTGGGTGATTGCGGTGACTCTGACTCCTGATCAACCCAATGTTTATTCGAATCAGCGGGTAGCGTATTCGGTAGCTTCACTGGCGAGAACTGTTCGTTTCTGGGGGTGGAAGGTATAGGAGAAGGCGATTCATTTCCCGGAACAGGAAATATATCAGATGGAGGACTCATTGTCTTGGAAGGCGAATCAGACATATCTCTAAAATTACCTCCAGACTCCGACGAGTGTGATAACTCTTCAGAGGGACTAGAAGATTTTGCTAGCCGCTGTGCTTTAACGGGTATCCTGCTCACTATCCGTTTCTGAGGCTTTGGGGTCTTGGTAGGCGAAGAGAATAAGGATGTCTCTTGGTCACATGTATCAGTAACCTTGATTTCTTTTTCAGTGCCATACAAGCCTGTTATCGGAAGGCCTCCAAACCCATCAGGACCATTCATGCCACCCTTCAGATCTGCTAACATGGCCTCCATCTCAAAAACCAGATCACCATTTATTGCACGAGCGGTATCGAGACTTTGGACACCGGAATTAGTGTCACTACTTTCTGAAATATCTGTTGCCGATATATCAGTGCTCCTGCTAGCCCCACCATCGTAGCCGTCATCTTCGCCATCGCGGCTATACACAGATTCTTTTTCGAGCGCTAGCACCATCTCACCAAACGAAGGCAGTCGGCTGAGAGTGCTTGTTGGGCTAGGGGGGAACAGCCTTCTTTTTGTAGGAGGTGGGGATAATTCCATCCCCTTCCGGTATAAGGTCCGTGGCGTTTCATTTAGAGACTCAGTTCCCTCACTCGTAATTCTCTTTAAAATATCGGAGCACTCCATACTCCTCCTGCAGCTCACCCCTGACAAATTGATAGATTTTTCATCGGATATCTCCTCCAGATGATGGGGAAGACGACTGGCCTCCAGTAGCTTAGCTGGTCCATCAAATTGTAGCAGCTCAACACCATCATTGCTCAGGTCAAGCAGACGTAACCTAGTATTTGGTGCGGACACGAACTTTTTTCCCCATGTATCAGATTGAATCCAGGCATAAAGCACTTGTTGATATAATTTGATGAGGAGCTATCAAGGAAACAGTGGTCCAAGGCCAAAAAAAAGGGGGGGTGTATCCGGCAATATCTTACCTCGATCTTCGCGTGTAACGCAACTTGGCTACTCGGGTTACCATCCCACTCACCACTCAAATCGATACGATTGATCACCGGCTGAAGGATAGATTCTGATGCCATCGTTCCAATATCATGAAACCGGGTGCCTGGGCCACCTACTAACCCTCCTTACTGCAGTTTTGAATGGCGGCAATAATAGCGTTGGTCGTTGGATCTCAGTCACCCCTAGGACACCTGTAAAACGAGAGCTGAACTTGAAACCGTAACAAAACGACACAATCGAGAGACATAAAGGGGGAGGATGAAAGCGAAGATGGGTGGGACTTGGGAATAAATTCCGAAGACTGAGACTGAGTGTTGATAAAAAATTAAAAAAAAAATAAAAAAAAATCTAAAAAGCGCGGCAAGCTCGACGTTGTTTTAACACAACAACACAGCACACAGCACACAGTGTTGGGTGCACTGGGGAAACAACGCCCTGAGAGGCCACACACACAAACAAACACATATATTATTACACCAAGGTATGTTGTCTATGTTGTCTATGTTGTTCGTGTTGTTGGTGTATGCTGGATAGCTTCCGTTACAGTTACAGCCTTGTAAGGCATGCAATCATAGCTCTAATCTTCTGCGATGGAACGAACGAGCTCTGGTGCATCATGTTCATGTCGTTATTAAGGGGCGGGAATCCCTGCCATTATCAAAACAAAATAAGAACAGGCATTCTTGTTTTATATTATACCTTAAAATCACCGTGCATTAAAGCCCTAAGCTTAAATTGATTGAATCTCAACAAAGAACTAGATGAAGTCAGAGATACATTAGTTGACTCCTATACCATTATGAACTAGAGAAGACCCTATTAAGTTATCATTTTAATTGCCCTGTATCCTGAGATCCCGGTTCTCTAAAAGTCCACGCCTTTACCGTTAAGAACTGCCAGCCCCACGTTTAACAGCCTATAGTTTTGAGAATGCACCGCAAGCTCCAAACAAGACAAACAAGAAAGCATAGCAAGAGAAACGGAAAAGGGCGTCCAATAAACTACTTTTATATGAAGGAAAGGAATGCCCCACTGCAAAAAGAGAAAAAATATATAACATACTGTACAAGAAGGAACCAAGGAATGATGCAATTTTTTATGAAACCCCCAGTGAAAAGAAAAAAAATAGCATAAAAATAAGACCTGTATGTCCCTTAGGCACCAGGTATGGCTACAGTGTTCCGAACCGGACCCGTTCACTCCCCCCCTTCCATTGACACCTCCCGTGCAAGTCTATCCAAACGAACGAGTATGGAAATGGAGAAATATCATGTCAGAATACAAGGAAGAATCATAAGCCGAAATGAAAGCGCGGGATAAAAAAATATATATAATATAAACAGTCGATCACACGATATTCGTAGAGAGTACGTTATTGCGGCGTTGTGGTAGACGAGCCAGGAGCATCGAAAGCAGCCTGACTGTCACTCCCGTATCTCTCGCCATTGGTCGAGGGACCCGGCTGAGAGGGGAGAATTGGTGGAGTTCCTTGCAAGGATGGATCGTAGTACGCTCGCGGATTGCCGTTACTATTCGACGGAGCTACTTGCCGGTTCGACTGCAGAGGAGGTAGGATGGTTGAGCCTGAAGGTTGGTACTGAGATCGTTGGTACATTTGGGGCATCATCCCCATGCCGGCGGAACCTAGAGAGTAGATGATTCAGGTGAGTGCCCCTGTGGGTAGGCAGAACCGGTTTGTCTCACTTGAGAAGGACTCTGCATGTGTCCTGCGGGTTGACTGAAAGACTGACCAGAAACGATTCCCCCCATATTTGCTGCCTGGCCGGTCCGGCCTGGGGTGGATTCGCCCATTTGCGACATCTGTGCGGAAGAAGAAAGATTGTATGGCATCTGCGCACCCGAGTAAGACTGATACCGTGGTTGCCCCATGTACCCACCCGCTCCAGGGGAGCGGATAGATCCCATAGATTCGTCAGCGAAACCAAAAGGCGTTGGGGTGGATCCTTGCGGTGCCTGTCGAATGGGGTAGTCAGATACCCCAGTGCCAGCAGTTGTATACCCTTGCATCATGCCCTGTTGGTACGCCTGATTTTGGTATGGATTCGTCGCGTGCGGCTGGTACTGGTAGCGAGCATCACCTTCATACAAACCTCGACCACTCATGTCAACGGAGCTTCGTGAACGCTTGGCTTCGGGTCCATTGTAAAAGGGGTAATCTCGGCTTGGCTGGTAAGCAGCTCCGATCTGCTGACTCGACGCGCCGGGGCGCTCTGGTGAACGAGGCTGCGCCAGTGGAGCAGGATATTCTGGCTCCGCTCGAGGCATTGGGCGCTTGCTATTCCAAATCAGCTACCTTTCTACTGAATACCGCGAGAACAGAACTCACAGAAGCGTACGAGCCTCCTTCCGAATTCTCAGCTTAACCCCTTGGTCTGCAAAAGACCTTGAAAGCCATGTAGACTCGGCCATCCCAGGAAAGTTCTTTGGGGGGGACACTATTCAAAATTAGCATTTGCACTAAAGCAATCGCCTTCAAGTAATAACCCACCAGTGAATGGTTTGGAAAGGATTGATTTTATGTAAACGACCTCATCTCTCGTGCCACCACATCTCTTAACCCTGTCAACAAGGTCAGCAGTCATGATAGAAATACGGATTCCACGTGGATCATACTCTCGCATCTCAAACAGGTTAAATTTCAGCCTAAACTCCCCTTCAATCTTAACGGAAAGGTCACCGAAGACGAAAAAACCGCCTTCTAAGGACACCTATGTCAGATACCAACAAACGCTAGAAAATGTCTCGGGGTAGCACTAACCCATATTATCGGTGTCCTTGAGCCGATGGAGTGAAGACACTAAAGTCCCCGCGAGCGCCGTAGATTGAGCTGTGGTCGCCGGCGTATCCTCTGTCGCATTGTACAGGGTGCAGCACATAAAGTAAAACGGACTTTGTAGGTAGTTCCTGGACGCGCTGTAAGCAATTATACCTCTTAAGCTTCGTCGCACGGGAGCCTTACTGCCCAGGGTCTTTTGTTTCATCTATCTTCAGCTGGATTATAGGCGGAGGATCCACCGGCTTGCGTTCTGCGCAAACGAAAAGAACGAAAATAGAAAAGACCATCAGTCCTCAGTTCACTAATGAGAAGAGAATTACTCGGAATGGGAAATGATCAAGTCACCTTTCTCCTTCCCTCCTGCTACACGGGCCCGCTCCGGATTCTGGCGAACCGTAAGCCGAAAGTCCGCACTAACACGCGCAGGAATGTCAGCGGAATTTTTCTGTGTAGATACGTTAACAAACGGAGAACAGAACAACGCACCTTTGAAGAGCCGGCCGCTGTGTAACAGGGTCCTCTGGAAATGTCGGTGCGCTCATGAATATCAGAGTGTTGCGAGTGTTGGCTTGTAAAAATATCCAGGGAACACTTTAGCTCTCCTCCACGCGAAATGGTTCGTAAGACCCAAGGATTGGTATAATGATCCTTGTAGGGCGTACCTAGGGTTAAGAATGGCACTTGGTAGTGGGTTCTTCCCAAGTCTACACCTAGATCGAAAGGAGGTCGACTATAAAGATAAACGGGTAATAGTGCCGGGGTTGGAGGGGAAGAATATTAAGCGTTATATCATGAGTAGGGAGAGCCTGCGGGATAAATCAGTACCGTCGAAAGTGAAGGTATAGTCGAGTGGTAGTGTCGTCAGAAAACCTTTGCGCTTAATGTGGGAGCGGAGCCTGGCCAAGCGGCAATATTGCTTAATTCGCTTCACTACCAGTGCCCACCAAGGAGTCTCTGGGGGTACTATTATTACCTAGTGTTTGTTCCCTCGCTAATAGCGGTCTCCCGGACGAAAAAGATCTTCGTAACGACTTGACCGAGTATGGTGCCCTTGTTTGGATCGGAGCAAAGTGGAGTGAACCGCCCTTGCAGTTGTTCTGAACTTCTGAAGAGCCTAACAGCCCTGCGACTCCACTGGAACAGCCACGGGAGGGAGAAACAGAAACAAGCAAAACGTCACAGAAGAGCTGAAGACGGGTTCCCGAACTCGACTCCCAGCTATGATGCGTTGACACACACTTCGTACCGTAGTTTCTATCCTGGCCGCGCTTGCAATCGTGAGAAGGTTGTGGACGAACCAAGGATCCGATCTGGACTGCCCGGTATATTTGAGTTCAACGGTCGACACTGCCTAGAACCCTAACGGGATAAAGGAGGGTCTCGTTGGGGGAGTTGTCTTCGAGGCAATCCTGCTCGACAACTAGCCGAATGCCGTCCGTTTGCAGCAGATAGGTAGTGGTGGTCGTCTAGGAATATCCTATAGACTGATTAACATTCCCGGTGCTTGTTGAGCCTCATGTCGATAAGGTACAACTGACAATGCGTGCAAGCGCTGCGAGTGCGCGCGGTTGCCACTCGACGGGCGCCAGGGAGAAGTCAAACCTTGGTATAGACAATGCTTATCTCTTCTGGTACGTGGGGAACTCTTCGTATCGTGGATCGTGGAAGCAGAAACAAGTCTAAAATGAATCTGGTAAAGGGGCTTGTCCGCATCCCGCTGTAGTATCTTGTACCTGGATCGACACACCTCCTAATATCATTTCCCTGGCAAATTCGAGCGCGAAAAATAAATGAAATCGATGAGCCAGTTGCAGACTCTAACAATCCGGAGTCGTTATCGTGTCGTCACCGTCGTAGTGGAAGGCAGTATGGTTTGCAGGTGAGAACCGGCTGAACAATTAGGGATTAGGGGGGGGGGGGTAAAAGGGAATGTCCGAGAGGGGAAACTGTTTAACAATAATGGGAGCTCTTGATCACGCACACACGAGTCTACGACACTTCACAAGGTAATACCCGTCAACGGACAACAGACAACGGACGGCAAACGTGAACACATCCAAGATCGTCGCCAATTGACCAGCACAGGGTAAGATTTTTGTATTCATATACGGAGAAGCCAATCTCCCCAGGATCTGCGAAATGTGGCGGGACACTTGATACAAAGAGCATTAGCCACCCAGCAGCGATCCTGTGAATCTGCGGCCTCGGACAAGTTTTCTCTTCTCTCGGAACTCACAGACAACGCTCCTCATGGATTGAGAGATCAAGAGAGTGTAACGCTGGTGGAAAGCAAACTCCAGACTCTGGAATGGAAGCTCATACAACTAGGGGAACTGTGCAGATGGAAATGATATATCCTACGGCTTGCAAAACCATTCAACAAAGAAGCTCTGTTTGTCAATTAACTCCACCTCCCCCCAATGATTGTTGTTTGGCTGTCGATCCGTGCCTAAAACGCGAACATCTATTTCCGACACAGAATGGCGGTTTCGAGAAACAAGGGCGTCGTGTTGGCAAAGAAAAAAGAGACGGCTACTACTCATTGAGTACTCTGTACGGAGTACGGCGGGAGGAATTGCATGCAGGAGACGACGGCTCCAATAATGTCCACTGTTGGTCAGGGCGAACGGTCGGCAAGGCAAGACAGAATCATTCCTCTATGTATGTACAGTACATGTTGGCTCCTTACTGGCCTTGCAGTATGGGAATGAAGTCAATGCTCCAGACCCCTGTTCATTGGGGCTTGGAAACATCGACGAAAAGGATCGGCCAGATGCAGGAAATCACATCTTATTGGGCAGATCACATCACATTTCCCAGTGAAGATGCGTTCCAGGGACGAGTGATATCTCAAAGCACAGGCTTTAGCTTGAAATTCGGGTTGAGTTGGCCGCGATCACACCCTCTGGAATTATTTGACTAAAAGAGAGACTTTCAAACTCGAGGGGCATGGCATGTAAGAAGCGTCTGGTATGTACGGAGTGCGCTGGACCTCATGCTAGTTACGTTGGGAGCTGTAAGTAATTATTAATGAATAATAATGTTCTGAGTCCACAGAGTTGTCAATAATAAAATACGAATGACACCAATACGATGCTAGGAAGCTTGAGCACAAACAGAGCGCGCGCTGTTGTGTAGCTTGGCGGCTCGAGCGCAAACAAGGCTGCTGCCCCTTCCTCATAATCGACGTTCAGCGAGTCCTGCAAAGCGAGAGCGCATACTATTTTCAAGTGATCTATGAGGGTCACTATTATTGGCATCATCGACTGTGTATTTCCAATGTTCTGGAGGGCCAAAACCAAGTTACATACCGACTGCTTGAGCTGCCTTGCATTGACGTTTCGACATGTACCGCACTCTTGGCATTGCCGCTCGGCTCGTAAACAAGCCAACGAAAGGATCACGAATAATCGTCCTGTCCGGTCGGAGAAATCTCTTTAAGCTCTACACGATTATCCACATCGAGACGATGAACTTGGGTCGGAATGGAGATGGCGCCCGGGAACTGCTGGTTAGTTTCGCGTGGTAATTTCAGATGGGTCTTCCCTATTGTGCTGGAACCGTGAAGCTCCCGGACCCAGGATAATTAGTGCCTCCACCATGCCAGACACTCGAGCCCAGAAGGCATGAGTTCCAAGAAGCCGAAAGCATGGCCGAAACAGGTTTCAGAACCTAAGCGTCGAACAGAATACCTTTGGCCATTGCAGATCCATAGATCAACGGAGCGCGAATGTGTTCTAATTTCTTCGCAATTATCGTTTCGCGCTTCGCATCATCCGCCTCCCAAATTCGATGTGTGCAAGGGCAATCACAAAACGGAGCATGGAGCGCGCTCCTAAGATGTTAGCCTGATGGCAGCTGGTAGTGGAGAAAGGTTGTCCATCTCAGCCAAAAAATTAGATCCAGCGATGGGGGGTTGATGGAAAAGGAGCAGCCTCACCTTGTCAGACTGGCCTGCAGGCTACAGCTAGTAGAGTCCAACAGCCAATCATACCCAAGCAGCGACTGCATCCATTTCGAATATCATCGAGTTTGTGGCTAGTCAAACCCATCGGCATATTCACAGAACTCCGATGAATCAGCCCAACGAATTCTGTGTCACCCACCTCCCGAAAGGGGCCAAAGACAAATGCCGGTTTCCTACAGCTACGACAAGTCTACAGTCTGTACATTTTCGAATGATGTAGGCGAAGGCCTCTGCCGACAGTCATGATCTCCAAACATTACTACTCTAATATTCTATACTATGTACCCTCTTTCTATTCAGTTATAAACAGGGTACAGTGCGTGTATGGAAACAACGAATGTGCTTGCGATAGAGATTTTAAGATGGATATAACCCTCAGCGTGTGTTCACGAACTCACTTCAATTTGTCTCCCAGACCCCTTTTAAGGACTTTGGCTAGGGGCCCAAGGCCGCCCTGCTCTAAGACCTGCTTTGACCTCATGAAGTCACCATCATTCCGCTAAGACAATGTGTATTGGTCGTTAGACCGCGAGTATCGGTCACAAGATCGTGTGATAAACGGCCCATTCATCGCCGCTCAATAAAGTCTGTGGAACGAACTCTCCGTCCGTCATCCTGCACCTTTACCTACCGGAAAATTAGCGGGAAAAGACTCAAGCTTCCAAGCAATGTAGGTGAATAAATTATTTCCTCAAATCTATCAAGGATGAAAACCCGTTTTTTAAAAGCCAACATCTATGATTATTTCAACCTTTTGCCAGCGCCAGAATGAGTCTCAATAACTCCTTATCACAGCCTTGAACAGATATCTGAGGTCGCCAAATCCGTGGATACATAATAATTAAACATGCTTCTACCTTATACGAATCCATGGATCCGTTGCAACTGACAGGTCTCCTATCTTGGGATCGACCCGCAACACTTGCAGATTCGTAACCAGACCTAACCTAGGGCTTAGAGGAGCTTCTCAACGTATACAAACTGTCAGGTTAGATATCAGGCGACTCCTTCCTGATGAGATAGATACATATTCGAGTTCGAAAACAGCCAAAATGACCATGTGGTTCTGAGTTTTCTAATTGGGCCGATTTATCGGACCCCCTCGTGCGAAATTTGTGAAACTTTTTTATTTCTCCCTCTCTCTCTCTTTTTTTTTTTTTTTTTTTTTTTTTTTTTTTTTTTTTTTGAACTCGAACCCAGCCGTTTCGGGCTGACCAACATCATCATTTCCTCCCGTCATGCTTTGCCCGGTGATTTCAAAACAGATTGTCGATATGAAGAATCGAGAAAATGGACCGTATGGGCCAATTGCCCTTTATTGAATGCAAATCCCATCATTGAGCATGTTGATGGCAGTGTATCAATGACACACCCGCTTTCATTTCAAGAAACCCCCTCCCCCACCCCCCCCCCCAAAGACCGACTGACCAATGAGTGCATGTCTGCCTGGAAGCATGATAACAATCATTCCCAGCCCTGCTCTTTTGCTTTTTCCCTCAACCTTGACTATATTGTTAACAATACCTTGGCGGTGCTACCTGCTGGTGGCTTTGAACAGGAATTTATACATACACCGCCATAATTGATAGTTAACTACGGAGTAGTTACACCCCTGCTGATTTAGAATAGACATGGCTCAGTAATTGACTTTCCATTAATTATGTAGTAGTTATATTAAATAACTGGAAATCTTATATGCATAGTATAGTATGGACATAGGTAAAAGTGGTGATTCAAAAATCAACATTCTGCTCTAGCCTAGGGCCCCTCAAAAGAATGAAAATAGTGACTAAAAAATCAACATTTCACTCTAGTCCCAGAGGCCTCTCTCTGCATCAAATCTACAATCTCTATATCTCTCAAATAATCCTCATCTGCTCAAGAATCCTTCAAAACTGCCTGTTCTGTCTGCTGCACATTATAAAACAATAGAGTTGAAATAGAGAAGCTCTCATTATCAGTTGCAAGCAGAGATTGCTTCAAAAAATTGTCTATTAATGATTCTTAAACTCAGTAGTGAATAGAATGATTGAATCGGTGCAAGCAAGCCCCCTACTGCTATATACAGCGTAGGTGGGTGCCGGGGTCGTTTTGGCTGGTGGTTAGGGGGCTAGGTCCTGGCAGCTCTACGCTTCGTATAACTAATAATAACTATAAAAACCATGACAACAGATCTGTGAGCTAACAGCAGAGATTCAGAGAGCTCAAAGAGAAATGTCATAGAGAAGAAGCTTGCAGAGAGACTTGCAGAGAGACTTGCAGAATTGATTGGGAATATATAATTCTACTATTGATTATATTTCTATGATTTTCAACAAAGAGGCAGTTTCTTTGTGAATCAATAAGCTGTCTCAGCTTCACTTTTAGCGGGTGTACATAAATCCCCTTTTGAACCTCCAGAATTGAGCTAGCGAGCATCTTATTAACCTCTTTGCTGCTTTCTCCGACCCTTGAACTTAAAAGTCAATGGAGACCCCATCTTCGGCGCCGTCGGCTTGGCCAATCCTGCTTTCTCTGAGGGTGGGTGGAAAAGAGAAATCTGGAACGATGGCAATTGTGGATTCTTCTCTCAAGCATGTTCGGCCGTTTGGACCAACTAACTTAACTTAATACTTCGAAGCTAATAATAAAGCTGATGGTGGGTGACAACGACCGCAACCTTGGAAGTTTTGCGATGAATGACCTTTACGGAGGACTTCCTCCACACAAGGGCATGACGGTTTAGCTCCCACCACGCCGAAGTTCTCTTCACACAATATATTTAGATATTCGTCCCAAATTACTAGAAGGGAAACTATTATGGTCTGAGGCCGGCTGGAGCGATTTAAACCCGTTCAGACTGGAGAAATGTGTATATAATACAAATGCACAATGCATTGCCGTTTTCCCGACTCATAATACTTGTTTAATTATTTTCGGGTGTCCTGCACTCCCCTTGGATAGATACACGGGAAGAAAATACTTGTTTTCCCTTCTTTACAAAACATCAGTATGAGACATTGGTATTTACGATATCGTTGCTCGACAAACGGACACGACATCTCTGTGAAATGCCGGAAAGCTACGTTGGCTGGAATAGCGCAAAGTTGAATAAAAGAAGAAAAGAGAGCAGAGAAAGCCGAGAAGCGAAGTCTTCACTCCCTTATAATAATATCTCACACTCAGATTGACGAAACAATCGAGCAAGCTCTATTCTGAAAATTATTGACTCCTTGTCTCGCTTAGGTCTCGCAGACGTAGCCCAGTCCTCAAACCTGGTCCACGGTGAAGCTTAGTTAGTAGTCGACCGGATACTAATAATAAGTAAAACTTGGTGAGTTTACCAGGATCAGAGGTTAGAGAATGTCCACCGCGTCCCAATAATGGCAGCAAAAAAAAAGTGTACGCGGCGGAGCTTTTAAGTAGCCAGATGCACGAAAAAGCACCCCTCAATGCAAGACTTCCTTCAGGTCCAGGTACGGATGAATAACTCAAACATAATATCTTGGTCCTTACATTGTTGAGTTGTTTTTTTATTCAGTTCAACTGGGATTCCTGAGCTAATTGGACCAGGTCTGGTCTGGCCACGATGCCCCCCTCTCGCTGGCTCAAACAACAAGACAACTTAAATGATGTAGAATGTTTCTATAGGCTTGGAGGGCTTTCTAGATGGCAGCTGAGAATTAACCACGCAGGTTCCCAGTCGATCCTACAGGCAATGAAATAGCGGGGATTTTTTATATTGTTGCCCCGCTGATTTCAAGCTTCAGTATGTTTCAGTTTCTAAACAGGGAATCCTCGACTTCTCCGAAAGCCAAGGCTGATATAAAACATTTAATGAATCGAAATTTCTTCATGGTAGGGTAGGGATAGGTGATGTCCCCTTCCTATATACGCGCTTTTGGCGCTAATCTTGCAAAGGCTCGGCGTACTGGATATTGTATCTCACCAGCTCCTGATCAGCAGATCACCACACTGCAGCAGAAAGGGGAGTTTATCCGGGCAATTATCTCGTTGGTGCGGAGAAATGATGGACTTGATCTTGATGATGCAGCAAGCAAATGCTCCCGAGGAAGCTGAGTACGAGATATTCCTCCTAGCTGGCGTTAAAAAACGTCACTTCTCCACCGTGCTAAATACGCAGCGTAAAGGTGTCCTGATGCTACAGCATCTTTATATACCCGATTTTGGGCAGGTATAAAATAAATGGCAGCAATCTAAATCTGTACTGCTTCTAGAGATCTCTTGAGTGATTCCTCCTATCGGATATATCCGGCTATACTCAATAATAATAACTACCCACACAACCGTCGTAGTTCCATCCGTACGCGCGAATGTAAAAAAGCGGATAAAAAAGCAAACATGCGCGATGCCCAGTGCTCTGCATTAGCAGAAAAATCGGTGAAGATCCCAACAGCCCAAAACTTATTTAGTTAGAACAGGGCGAATAAGAAGCCTGAGTTCCTAGCGACGGGAGAATACCATGGGTAACAAGACGCAGGGAGAAACCCCACGGAATAACTATGATTCAGGCTTCCTCGGATAGCTCGACCGAACTGTGGTTTGGCTGTCGATGCAGATATGGTTAGGTTGGGTGGGAGTCAACCAGGATATTGACTAACGCCCAGGAGCTTATAAGTGTTGTTTTGTTGATTCTTGTGTGTGTATATTATTCTTATTCGTCGGGAATAGGGATTTTTGATATGAAGAGTTTTTGTCAACAACGCAGTATGTATGCACGGAAAAAGAGGGGAGGGGAAGATATATATCACTTTTCCGTCAGCTGTCAAGAAACAAAACTGCCTCTAAAGGGCAATGACAGATAACTAAATAACTACAGGATCTTGATCTGATCCCGCATGCGCCTAATGTGCTCGGTTGGAAGATACATCTCCAGTCTGGCAGCACAACAGCAGCACAACAGCAGCAGTTAGGTAATAATAACTAGTCGGAATTTTCCAGTAGTTAGCCTCGCAGGACCATGCAGGGCGGCAACAGAGAAGAGAACGCATTCCTCCACTTCATTTTCTTTGTTCAATGTTGGGATGGTCATTTTTCTGGACATAAAAGGGGGGTGGGGTTTTTTCTTCCCATTATTTGAATATCATTTGTTAAATAAATAGTTGCTTACAACTTAACTACAGGTTTGTTGCTGACGCTCATTCGCTGAAATCCAACCCCCATCATCATTTCTTTGTCTCGCTTTCCGACTCTTGCCCCCCTTTCAACCCAAATCGCATCCAATGATGTGAAAGCGTCGAGAATAGTCCGTTACCGCTCATGAGGTTCCTTATTGCAAAATAAATCATATAATATGAAATGTGACAAAAGAAAAGAAAAGAAAAGAAATCAAAAAAAATAAAGAACTAAAAAAAAAAATGACTAGACTGGGGTTCGATCCCAGGACCTTATCGGCACATGTGGTATGCTGACTAAGCTTGCGCTGTGCAGACCAGGAATGTGAGCGATACGTGATAACCAACTACACCATCCAGCCACTCTTGGATGTCAACGAGCCTCCCAACAGGACTTTTTTCCATAGGCGCAGAATAATTGTGGACTTGACTCTTATTTGAACATTTCTCACAAACCACTCAGATCAGATAAGGGATAAGCCCCTGAAACAAATGAATAAGTGATGGCGACATTCTCTTATCGTGTCAAGTCAAGTAAGTACATTACGTGTGCGGAATGTCCCGGGTGTTTATCAAAAAGGTGGGTGTGTGTGTGTGCGTGTGTGTGTGTGTGTGTGGGACATTTAAGGGCAGTGCGAAGAAGTCAATCATCCCGCCTGATTCCGGCTTCCTGCCATTCACAAAATATAGTTATACAGAACTCTATGCACATCTTATCTACTCTACAAATCCACACAGCCTCCTGTGTATTCTACCCATGACGCAGGACATTCTCAGGACCTTCTCAAGGACCGACCGGTTGTCTCCTGGATAATTAATCATAGGCGTAAGCGATTAAACTCTGGACCCTTCCCGCCATTGGCTAACTGGGGTTCGCTTCATGTGTATGGGTATATATATATCAAAACCTGTTTGCTAGATCTTGGAACTTGAAGATTAAGCCAAACCTTAAACCCCGCATGGGGTTTCAAACAAAAAGGGAGAAAGAAGTAAAAATGTAAAAATGACTTCGGCATATCAAATAATGGAAGGATGCAAGCCCTCGAGTGAGCAAAAGAAACTTTCGTGACAAGATTATCGCACGCACAAACAGAGGGAAGGCTACGAGCATGGAACCCTGGTAACTTGGTGGCTCGAGACGCAGGTACGAGGAACAGAAGAGTAATGCTGTGCTAGATTACTTTGCTACCTATATGTGGGGGTCAACTATTAGAGCCTGTATTAACGTAACATCATTAGCTGCCACTAAAGACCAACGGAGTTGGCCTGAAACCAAGAACAAGCAGCGAGCAGAGAGAGAGAGAGAGATGGATGCGTCGAAATTATTCCACGTGCCAAAATATCCCATTGGCTCAAAATTGATGTAAACTAGGACCAGTTAATGATAATAATAAAGTACAGAGGATAGTGAGATATGTGTCTGTTACAAGATAGGGGTGACAGAAGTGCATGGAGGAGAAGATCGGTTTAAGGGTCGTAGGCGGAATAGCAGACCGGATGAATTGTGCGGCGAATGTCACAAAACGAGACGCCAATGATGATTTTAGGTGCGAAACCCGAAATGGGAAAATGGGCGTGCATTTCAGAAGAAAAACAGAATGATATGATTCCGGTAACTGGAGGGGAAATGAGCCTGAAATCACAGAGAAAAAATAAAAAATAAAAATAAAACAGTGGTATAAAAGGAAATAAAGGAGAATATCATTGAACATGCCCATAACCTCCACATGAACCAACGTAAAACTCCTTATTGCGCCCTAAGAAAAGTCAGAACGAATGGTGATAAGCTCCAGCAACGTTATGACATTCAGAAATATCAGATATATCGCTGATTCGAGTAGAGAAACAGCCTCCATCGTCGACAAGGGAAGGGATGTCGAAAGTTATTCTCAGGTATCTTCATCAATGCCATCGATCGACTGGTGATTGCTGTCAGCCCCCTGGTTAGCTTCCTGGGCACCTTCATGGTCCACCATATCCAAATCCGTCGCATGGGACTTATTGCCTTTGTTGACTCGAGATGGTGTGATAGCGTAGGCAACTTTGTCGACATTCGTGTTGCCATTCTCGAGAGCGCCGGTAGCCCTGCCCTTGCTACTCGAACCGCCAAGCGACTCAGATGTAGCCCTGGCACCAATCTCCATAGCGCTCGTCTCTATCTCGGCAGATTCGAGCTCCGGCTTCTCCAATTGCTCAAGTTCACCGTCCTCCCTGCTTTCAATACCATCACCCATAGTTTCATTAGCATCATTAGCGTCAAGGAGCCTGCTACTTCGCCCCCTTCGGAGGCCACTTGTTCGACTCGAAGGTGTCGGAGTGCCCGTAGCCTGGCTGGCGGTTCGCTTTGGAGTACTGCGGCCACTTGTTCGTGCGGTAGTGGGAGCAGTGGCTGTAGTCGTGCGTCCTTTGAACTTATTAGCACGAGTTGAGCCGAATGGCCGACCTGGTCGACGTTTGACAACTGTTCCTTGGATGGGGGGAAATATTTCGAACCGCGTGGGCGGGATTCCAGCTGCTGGATTCTGTATCATGGACGACGCTGACGGGGTTCTGGCGCCGTTTGTTTGCCTTGACGAATGGTCATCGAAGTGCATCACACTCATTGATGGCGGTCCAGGGGGTTCAAAAGGGGGCGATGCGTATCTGGCTTGGCGGTGTCCGTTGACGAGACCATCTTGCATGCTCCTTGTATCACCATTCACATTTTCTGCTCGGTTGGTATACATATTGCTATCACTGTTGCCTTCCATATCCAGATCGCCGTCCACATCGGGCTCATCGCGCGGGGCAACGGTATGTAGCGGTGCTCGGTCATAGTGTGACTGGTTACTGCGACCCATAAGGTAGGGAGTCCAGACAAGTGCATCTGGATTGAGCCGTACGTAATTTTTCTTCTCCCAGTTTCGAATATATTCCTCGAAATAGGCATAATTCAGTCGCAGGGCGTACGTTTTTGTTTGGGGATCCCGTACGAGGGCCCGCAATCCCTCCAAGCCTGACACGATGTCATCTGCTGTCATCCCGGTGCGCTCTGACAGCTCGGCAATACTGACGGGAGACTTTTGATTTCGCAGCTGGTATGATAAGACCAGACGCCAATAATTGCGGTATGATACTAGACCCAGATCTGAGAGTGGTTTTTCTGGTGACCCTGTTTTCCGTTCCACCCTCGTTAGGAGATAGGAGAAGTCTATCAGGAGATTGCCATAGCCTTTCCGCTGGTGGATGGGGAGGGTTAAGATGCATGACACATTATTTGATGAGCTGGGCCTCTTCTCCTTGCTGAAGTAGCCAACGAAGTGGCAACCTAACTCATCATATTCTGTCATGACATAGAAGAGGAACGGCTCGACGTCGTAGTACAGCGTTTTGGATCCTAGGAAGAGTTTCGCAAGCAAGCAAAGGTTTTGGCAGTATACGGGGTTCTTGCGACCATCAACTTCGAAAACAGCCACCGATCCGTCTCGGTATATTTCATCCCCCGGAGGGTGTTTCGCCGGGCATTTCAGTTTGTGGCGCCAGGCAACAAACGCCGAATTCATGTATTTGAGACAGAATTCGCAGATGTAGAGCACACGGTTTCTACTGTATTCTTCTGGATAAGGCGCAGCATACCACGTTTCAATCTCGTAGCCACCAAAGCTGATGTATTTTATTTTGCTTGGTGGACCAGAGATCTTTTGTGAGGCACGTGGTGCTGGGTCACCGGACTGGTCGACAGCAGCCATTTTCTGTCTCCATTCTTCTTCGGCTTTTTGACGAGCGGCCTCGAACTTCTCTCGATCTGCAGCAAGGGGGAGTGTCTTTGACGTGTCAGCGTCAGCTTCTGATAAGATTCCCCCGTAGGGTTTCGATTTGAGCTCATCGTTTTCTCGATCGTGGAAGGCGTAAAAGGGAGCGCTGTATGTCGCGGGGGGGATGGGGTGAAAATGAGGCTGGGGCGGTTCAACCGCTGGCGGTGGCTTCGGACGTCTTCGTCTTGAGACTTTTAGTTTTGGCCGGGAGCTCAAGATTTTGTTTAACTTTGTACTATTTAGGTGAAATGAAAGAATGATCTTTCCTGGCTGACGCTGAACAACATTACAAAGGGGCTTTTCGGTTTTGCGCGTTCGTCGTGATCTCGACTGGCGGGCAGTAAGGGTGCTCTCTGCAGAATTTTCGATCAACGCTTGTACTGCTTTCATATTCCTAGGCAGAGGAGTGGGAATCATCCCCTCGAATCTGGTGGGCGTTTTCTTTTGTCGTTTCTGGGTAACCGTAGTCGCTTCTGGACCCTCGTCGAATGCCCTCCGCTTCCGAAGCGACCTAGAGCCATCCAGGGGATCATCGTCGACTATTAACGAGCTGAAAATAGAATGGGACTCCGGCCCTAAAGCTTCGCTATGAGCGGGTAGTAGATCTCGTGCAATGTTTGATGTGCCTGATTTTCGCCGGGATGGCGTCTCTTCAGGTTTATCAGGTTCTAGTTTGCTTCTAACACAGCCAGGACACCTCCAATCTTCAGCATCTAATAAAATTCACAAGTTAGTTATATTGTTCAAGGAGCTAAAAGTGCAGAGATGAGAGAAGAGATTTTTCTTTTTTTCTTTTTTTCTTTTTCTTTTTCTTTTTCTTCTTCCTTTTTAAAAAATTTAAATACCTTCGTCGTTAATTAAAGCTCCTCGTTCTCGCGCACATTGGCGGTGACCTATGGGCCGATAGATTAGCCTCAAACTCCACAATTTCGTCAGGGGCACGAGCCAAGCTTTTTAAACCTATCGAAACTTACAATGATCACGACAAACAGCACATGACAAATATTCTTCGAACTCTTCGCTGGGATCGTGTTCTTCGTCTTGGCCACAGACTCTGTATGTAATTAGCAATTATTTGCTTGCTTATGGATGCGTATTTTTAAACTTACATGCAATTGTTGGGATTTGATGCATCTGCTTCTGCATCTTCCACGTCATTACTTTCGGCCTCCCACTCCTCATCTGCTTCCGATCCTTCAGAGGAATCGTCATCGGAATCTGCCTTGACTCCGTTGGATTCGTTTTCGAATTCGACATCCGGGTCATTCGGGTCATCATCCTCACCATCACTGTCAGATTTGGCATCGCCATCTGGAAATTTCACCGCTCCGATAGCCTCAGTCTCTTCGTCTCCATCCCTATCCGCGTCGGCAACCCCATCTATATTGGCAATGTCATCCTTATGGTCCGCCTCAGGATTATCCACTCCCCCAGCGCCATCTTCTCTATTCGCCTCGTTTTCACTCGCTGTGATTGTCTCCACGTCTTTCCCAAGGTTTGAAGGAATATCGACATTTTCCTGTGGTATCGTAGGCGCCGTTTGGGGGAGACTTGGATAGAACTCATCATCCTCATCGCCCTCGGCATCTTGGTCACTATCCACTAGGTCTGGCTGTCGATCGATGCTAGTATTTCCGTATGCGGCCGGCACAGTCGCCGCCATGGTATAAGCTACTGCAGTCGCCAGATTGACGATGCGCTTAGACCATTGGGCCACTCTGCTCGGGTCGGCAGATGACTGCACAGCTTGTTTTTTTTTATATGTCGTCAAAGAAAATAGGAGGCCTCTGTGACGGAGGCTTGCGCCCCCAGCGGTGGAGATGCGGGTGTCTGAAGCAACGCCGTGGGCCACAATCAACGAGATCTATAAACCACCAGTCTGCGTAAAAACCGACCATGCGATCAAGGCTATAAGTAGTAAATCAAAGTTTCTGAAAGTCATGGCGGTATATGTTAGTTGGAAGTTTCATTGAGGTTGCACGCGGATTGTCGGGAAAACGCGCTGGGAACTGGGAAGAAAGAACACCAGAGAAAAAGCGCACAGTAGTACTTACGGCACCTAACGACCGGACGCGTAAATCACAGCCGGCTCATTCCTCAGTCTGCTCTTTTGCCAGCTGATGCTCTATCTCTGTGAGCCCCCTCTTGGCTGGGTGAGGTCTGGCTTGACGAATTTTGCTTACTCACCAAACGCCAAGCCTTTTGAGCGCTAAACTCCATTTGGCTCACTCTAAACCATCGCTGCAACACATCTTCTCAATTCCGCGTTTCTTTGTGCAATTGCGGCTTCTCAGGAGGGGCTGGGTCTTATATTTCCTTTTATTATCGTCTTGAAGCGCATTCTACAACGATGGGCGTTCCGTTTGAAGCCCTTCTCCCTTACGGGATTATCGTGGTGGTAGGTTCTACCCTCCATTGACACTTACCGGAGAACGGATACTCACTTCACCACTCTTAGATGTTCGGTGTCACTGGGTTCGGGTTGTCGACAGTGAAGTACTATTCAAACGGAAGAAAAAACCCAAGACGGGGTATAGATATGTGGGATAAGGTATGTTTTCGTTTTGCGATCCATTGATAGGATAATTCGCTGACCTTTTCACAGCAAAGTACGTATGCGCACAATCTCCGCCGGATAGCGAAGACTGACATTCTTTAGTGATGGAACGGGACCAGCGGATCACGGGGATATTTAGAGGGCAGGATAATAACCATGAAGCGCCGGTGGGATTCGAGGTTAACAATCCATGGAAGGTAAGGAAGGGATACTGCAGTTGTCCTTTTTTTTCTCCTCGAGGTAACCAGAGCTGACCATATAACTAGACCGAGAGACGATTTTTCTAAAAGAAATTCCTTTTTTCCGCTTTATACTTTGCCATAACTACACATATTTGTTACGTTACAAGATCAAATGAGGAAAGACAGTCGTATTCTGCATTTGAAGAGGAGCATTAGCAGTGTGGTCTCGTCTTGTTTATGTCGATGTCTGAATTTCCACCACCGAACCCTTGATTCCTCGAACCTCCATTGGATGGAGATGTACATTAAACCATTTTTCCAATGCAGAAACTCTATCGGCTTCAGAATTTAGAATCGCGATCTTCTCGACATTGCCGTTGATATTTTGCTTTACATCAACTCCTGTTAACGCCAGGGTCCCGATGATGTCGTCCTCCGCTTCACTGAGAAGAAATTTGGTGCAGATGAATTTCTGCTTAAAGGTGCTGGTGGGGTGTTGGCTCGTCCAGAAGTTTAGGATCTCGTAGTCTTGTGGCAGGAATTCAATGTTGTAGAAGCAGTAGGCGTCTCTCCAATCGCTTTCTAGGTCTGGCCTTGTTTGGTACATCCAGAGCCGTTGGCTATGGTCCACATTTGCGCTGATATTGCTTTTGACCACCCTCATTTGCGCGGGGGCGAAGGTCGTGGCGGGTTTATCCTCCTCTAGCAAGAGAGGGCGGGTGGGACCATTGGGACCAAATCCAACATCCACCTAATGCCGCAATCATTCAGCACTGTCCCGTACTGTAGAAATGTCTCTCGAGCACAAGAGGAGTAGAGACTTACCATGTACTTCTTCCCATCAATAGCCACGACTAGTATCATGTGGCCCCTGCATATACCAATCAAGTTATTAACTTATATCACAACAGAAAGGGGTCTGGATATTTTCCAGTTGATCCTTTCTCTCCCCTTTCTCGTCTAGCTCATGTCGGGGACACTCTTTATTTTTCTCGGAATTCCTCACCATCCATGAAATTGACTAGCAGCGGAAGGCGAATCGTAACCCTTGCTCACTCTTCCCGCAGTAGTATAAAACTGATATCCCAGCGAACGGATCACTATGGCCAGGAGTCCTGTGTTTTCCAAGCAATAGCCACCTAGACCGCGCTCTATAAGTTTATGAAACAGATGGTCAGGGTCCAGCGAGATGGTGTTGTGTTGGGAGTAATGCAAAACGATATTGGAAAACGCTACGGTGGCGAGCTGTCGTTGTTGGAGCACAGTCAATGCCGTCAGAGGGTCCCTTTGGACAAGTTCTTCAAGCTCAGACAGCTTGGTCAACCCTTGGTCTACTGGACAGTTGTAGATAAAGATGAGATACTTGGCGAGTTGTTCGCGGGTATAGGTAGGGTGTTCAGAGGCCATATTATGCGTGTGAATTGAGTTCCGTAGGTCCAGTTTATTAATTCCACAATATATCTATATATTAAAATAATTTGATATCCAAGAGACTCAGAAGACCGGTTCCCTCAGGCGCTTTTATTTTAGCATAAATATTAATAATTGTTGGAGGTAAATATTCCATGTCGCGGTGCTCATTCCGTTCAAATATTTAAACAGCGCTAATCGCTAGTTAAATAATCCACAACGGCCTCGCGGGGCCTCGTACTTTCGTTTATTTATTTATTAGTTAGTTGTTTCTTGGGTGGCGTTGAGAAATCACCTTCAGAAAAGGGAGGGAGAATAAAGATCGATTCTTAAAGCAAAGGCCTAGATTGAAACCTCTCAATGATTTATAACTAGGAATATTCCGATGACATATTGTAATCCTTGTTTTGAACCCACCCAAACGAATGCCCCCCTCTTTGTCGTATCTGAGAATAGTTAATTATTAATCAATAACAATAACAATCAATGTCTGTCTCGCAGAACAACTCATAACACACACTAACTACCTACTACTAACTTTCCTACACGCGGTCGCTCTCGTCAGATCTTCGGAACTTTCGATTGGATCGATTCCGTAAGTGGATGCTCGGTCAGTCGGGATTCGGGACTTCTGCATCGCTCAACATTATATACATACAAGAAATGCTCCTCCGATGCCCTTGAGATGGGAATAGAAAAGAACAACGACAAGTTGCATATCTCCTGAACATTGTCCCATAGATCAGGACCCTTACTAACTACCACCGCCCGCCTGTGTTGAAATTTGTTCCCCCAAGTCTTTTCGAAGTTAGTGTGGTTCCTGGTCTGATATTTAGTCCGTTGATATCAACCTATCAATCCCTCCCCCGCTGCGCAGTATGACATCAGAATCGCTCGAGGCGAAGTTAAATGCTCTGCAGGAGTATTCGGTTTGTGATGTATGTAATTTTCTATATAAATTTATCCCGTGCAACCATGTGGTAGCTCGAGACTCACTTCAACCGGAAGGTTTCAGACGCTCTTCTGAAAATCCAAAAAGTACCAAATGGTCAAATTGCTCGGGCGGGATTCCTCGCTGATCTTGGTGAGCGCGCCTTTGTACTGCACACTCCCAGATTTCCATGCCGAATTTCAATGATGCTAGAAGACCATATCGGGTTTATCAGTGCAAATGCATCTCCCATTGAAGTTGTTATTCATTGGCTCAAAAGGGAAGGAAGAGGAAGTTCGTTATTCATACCTATCAGAATAACTAAATCAATAATTCTACGAAAAAAGTGCCCTTCTCCCCTTCGCGGATCAACTTCGAAAACCAACCCAAAATAATCGCCCCGGTGTCGACCTTCAAATTCATACCTAAAGATGATCCTGTCCCTGAAGATACATCACCATCAAAGGAGCACAGCTTCCCACCGCGCCACCACTGGGTGGACTGTGCCCAGCCTGGTACTGTCGTATTTATCGAACAGCCAGCAGGCCAATATTGCGCCAATGTCGGCGGCATAATGGCAGCGCGGATGAAAGTCCTAGGAGTGAAGGGCGTGGTTGTGGATGGCCGAGTGCGGGACCTGGCTGAGTTGCGGAGTACACAGCTCCAGGTAAGTGTGGAAAGCCCCCTAGTTTTTTTATGCTAATATGAAAATATAATCCATCTCTATTTTAATGCAGTCTGGTCCTAAAACAATTATGAAGCCTCAGCTAACAGCAAATAATAACAGATCTGGGCCCGCGCAACATCCACCGTTGGCACCAGCGCAGAGGCCAAACCGGGTGTTCGAAATGTGCCGGTGAATATAAGCGGGGTGACGGTTTCTCCGGTAGGGAATACTCTTCCTTTTTTCCTAAAATCATAATATAATCATAATCTCTTTCCCAGGGCGACATCGCGTTTTGTGACCCCCTTGAAGGAACTGCGGTGATTCCCGCTGAACTCCTCGACGAAGTACTGGCCTTGGTGCCCAAACTTGCTGCGGCGGATGAGAAGGTCAAGGAAGATGTACTGAATGGAGCAAATGTCTTCGATGCTTTTGAAAAGCATCGCAGCATGCATTCAACTAAGTAACCTGAAGTACTGAAGTATTTTGTTGTGCTCTCATATCTTTTTTTTCTTTTTCATGAACATATCTGCTGGAGGTCTTGGTTGGGGGTTTGTATATAGTTTTCTGCAATAACGCACATATGAGATAGTTCTCAAGTGTTTATCAGTAAATATTTAGACCGGCCGTGTGGCCGTGCCTGGGACCAGGACCAAATGTTCCATAGTCCCTTTCTCAATTTATTTTGATTGTTCCCGGTCACGGATACCAGGACCTCTATCTAGTCCTAGTCACATTCATCAAATGGGACCATGAATTTTATGTTTCAATGCCTGATCTTTTATTACTTTAAATGACTTTAAATATCATTGGAGTGTTATGATTTATCAAAAATTGTTACTTATTAATTAAATTTTTTTTAGATAGTACAAAAAGAAGTCCGAAAATTTCTTAAAGTAGTAGTTTTATGCTAAGAATGGGACAGAATGATATATAATATGACCACTTTCCTATTACAACTTAGCCATGGTCCCATTCTGTGCTTTGAAAAGTGGTCACTTTTCGAATTTTAAGTGTAGGTCAGTCCCGATGAGATTCACACCCAAGAATTGTATGGGACCAGACATGAGATCAAACATGTCCATGGTCCCGGCGGCCAGTCTATTAGTATTGTAGTTCCTTAGTAGGATGTAGGCATAGTCTGGATCATTCCATCTTACTATGATGGTCTTCAAATTCTAAATAAACCGAAAATTGAAAAATATATAAATGAATAAATAAATAACTGTATATACTCATACATCAACCCATAAGAATAGCTGTATAACAGAAAGTGCGAGAGTGAAAAGGAAGAACATGAATGAGCAATGATGAGCAATTTGGCTCTAACCATCTCTAGGAAAATGAACATAAGAAAAAGGTACCTGGAATGCATTGGAAGAACCCGCATGACCGCTAGGCGCTAGCCAACGAATTCCCCCTTTTTAAAATCGTTATCTATAACCAGCAAAACTTACTCCGCAACCCAGACAGCGGCCATACCCATTCCAGTACCAACACACATGCTAGTGACACCAATCTTCTTCCCCGTTCTCCTCAGTTCCGTCAGGAGCGTGCTGACCTGTCTAGAGCCCGTGCAGCCAAGCGGGTGTCCAAAGGCAATAGCACCGCCCTTGGGATTAATCTTCTCCAGGGGCAATCCCAACTCCTTCACGCACCACACACACTGCGACGCAAACGCCTCGTTAATCTCATAAATATCGACGTCGTCCTTGGACAAACCCGCCTTCTCTAGCGCAACGGGGATGGCTGCCCACGGTCCAATGCCCATGAGGAGTGGCTTGACGCCGACGACGCTGGCAGTGACGTACTTGCCGATGATCTTCTGACCCAGACGCTCTGCGGTGGAGCGCTTCATGAGCAAGACGGCAGCAGCGCCGTCGGAGATCTGTGACGAGTTACCAGCGTGGATGCTGCCGTCCTTTGCGAATGCGGGGCGGATCTTGGAGAGCGATTCGGCAGTGATGCCGGCGCGCACGCCATCGTCACGGGAGACGGTGATGGTGGATTCCTTCTCTGTCTTTGGGTCGACGAATTTGACTGTCTGTGGGGCGATTTCTTCATCGAAGAGGCCGGCCTCCTGAGCCTTGATGGCCTTTTGGTAGGAGGTGGCGGCGAAAGCGTCCTGCTCGACGCGGGTGATGTTGCGGTCCTTCGCCATTTGTTCGGAGAGGACACCCATGGGCACTTTGCAGTTGGCGGCTTCTTCATGGCTTTCGAGCAATTCGGAGAATTCGGAGACGGCACCGGGGCTGAGGGATGGTTTTAGTCAACGTTCCTTTGATTTACTTCAGGGGGTATCGTTTTATACACAAGGTGTGCTACTAAAGCAAGAGCAACTTACCCATATTGTTGAGACATGCTCTCGACACCAGCGCCAATGCCAACATCAATCATGCCGCATTTGATGGCATTTGCAATATCAATAATGGCCTGGAGCCCGCTCGAGCATTGTCTGTTAAGAGCCTTGACAGCAGCTGTTTCGGGGAACCCGGCAACCAGAGCGGCAGCACGGAACTCAGTAGCTCCTCCTCCTGGAGGCAAGACAGAGCCAACGGCAATATCTTCGACCAGAGAAGGGTCAATCTTGGATTTCTCAATTAAGGACTTGAATACACCGGCCAGGAGGTCGGATGCGGGAGTGTCCTTGAAGCCACCCCTGCCACCCTTGGTGATGGCAGTTCGAAGGGCGCAGGTCACGACAATATCATCCGGGTGCTTAGAGGTGATAGTCGAGACTCCGCCCTTGCCGGAAAGGTGCGAAGTGACCTGTGAGAGACGTTGTGATGCTACGAGGAGGTTGTCACATGTCAGCTTTTGGAGGCGGCACAGTGACGTAGGCGTACATATGGAGATGATCACATACCTTGAGACATGGTGAGTATATTGTAGAAGGAGGTTCAAAATAACAGATTAAAAGGATCAACGTAAGAGTATAAGGAGATGAAGAAGGAACAGGAGAAATTGAAAACAAGGAAAAACCAGAAACCAGAGGAAGAGAGTTACGAGTGGGATGGTTTATTTTATATCCGCCGTGTCCCATGTCTTTGATCACACTGGGGAATGCCGAGGCTCTTCGGATCATAGTTGTTCCAGCTGTTAAAGTTGCACGTGACCACTTATGTAATCACATTTAGCCGCAAGCCCTAACATGTGAAAATTTGCGCTTTCTCTCACCAGGAATTATTATCAGGAGAATGAAATTGTTATTTCAAGCAGCTGAAATGGATGAATTCTTGCAATGATGATGTTGAATAAACACAGTAAGCCAGTGCCCAGCTTCGGCCACTCATTCTCTCTGCATTTCATCCTAGCTCTCTATAAGTGATTGCTGTGCACTTTTATGATATGCATCTTAACATTCTGCTGTTGGGACAGAAATCCCGCTCCACCCCTAACCAGAGATTAATCCGAAGATCAATGTTTTAAGGTTTGTTATTCAGTTTGCCCTTGTAAAAATATGAAAGTGTAGGAGGGAATATTTGGCCTTTCATGTGACGCTTGTTCAATGTATTCTGAAAAAAAAAAAAAAATGTAGCACATGCAACTTTGAAAGAGGGTTTCATTGAATTTTTCCAGTAGCACTTGAGGAACAAAGCTGCTAATTTGAGATCTGTTTTCCTTGACTACTCTTCACTGGCACATGATCAACTATGTTTATATTTTAAACCCTGTCAATATAAGGGCTAGTGGAAGTGCGAATTCATCATATAATATCTGAAAGTATCTTCTAGATAGACCAATCTTCGCATCGCGGCAAGCCGGTTGCTGCGCGCAGGGTAAGTCTGGATGATGCATGTATGTACAATGTCATTGCAGAGTATCTTATTTACCCGATGGATATATGCCCATCAGTCGTTTAATAATCCAAATGATTTGAACCCGCCATCCTGTACGGCGCAGAACTAGACACCTACTAGAGGCTCCTGTGGTGTTGTGACTTGAATGGTGAAGCGTTTGGCCTAGGAAGCATCGTGCCAAGACCCGCCGAGCTGTTTAGGGCCTGGAATTCAACGTCAGATCTTTGAACGTTTTGCTGTACAACCGCTTTTAGTGATCTTTGTCTTTACACGTCTACGCTTAAACTTGAAGCCATAGCGTATTCTGGTGGTTAATTGGAATATATAACTTTGCAATGTCAATTGCAAGAGCGCCGGGTCTAGCTACCCGAGCGACCACAGGCTTTGCGACACAAATATCCGCCCGGTCAAGCCTCAATATCCCAAGATGGAGTCGGCCCCTCCTCAATAGCAGAGCGGTATACACGTTCTTAGCACAAACATATATATTTGTTTAGATACATGGAACTAACTCGCTCCAATATAGAGCTCCTATATTTCAACGCCGTACCTATGTCGTTCACTCTCCACCAGATGGCCAAGCGGCCAACCCTCCTCCTCCCCTTCCTCCCCCGCCATACCCCCGACTCTCCTCTCCATACAAAAGTGCGCATTTAATACCTCAACTTCAACGTCACCCTCACTTGAATCCACCAATCGCCCAGATGATAGCTCAACCCCAACCGCCAGCAGCAGCAGTAGCAACATCAATAGCGAGAACCCATCAACGGTATACATAAACCCACACCGCGCAAAGCGAATATGGCCACCAGATATGTCGAAGCTATCACCAAAGCAGCAGTTCAGATTAGAGCGGAAATACAGGCGGCGGGCAAAGCTAAAGTGGGCGCGGCCTACATGGACGAAGTGGACGAAGTTGGTACAGTGGGCGATTATTGGATGTATGCTCCCCGTCTCCTCAACATCTACAAGTTATAAGAAAGGCTCTATGGGGCTCTCTTGTACATCGTGGGAATGAAACTGTGGAATAGAAAAAATATATGCTGACCTAACTCCTCTTGGGGGCCGGCCGGATTAGACGTTTTGGTATATTGTGTTATGTTCATGGATTTAGGGGAGAAGGTTAATCCGTTTCAACCGGTTAGTGTATCTATGTATCCCTTCTTTGTTTCTAGTCCATGATCCATCCGTACAATTGTACAATTGATAACTAACCGAAATCCCTTGCGGATTTCTGCAATAGATCCGAGATTATGTTCATCAATTCTTGCAGGGTCTGCTATCAACTTCTTCCCCACCTTCTTTTCAAAAGGAGCCTACCACGCCTACTCCAAAGGCCGCTAAAAGTGACTCTTGAGAGTTGCTCCTAGATATTATATAGGAGTTGAGCGGAAGGGACGTCCATATGTATTAATAGATATTTGAGGGGGAAAAAAATGTATATATAGTGACGTATCCTTGGAATAGGGGTTTAAAAATTCACCTTTTGATCTGGGAAGCCTGGCTAACGGTGTTCAATCTCCCTACATATATATAATCCGACTAAAAATAAGCAACTTAATCCAAAAACATGGATGTCGCCAACTGACCACTAGGTCGAAAATATTTCTTTCCTTACTGTGATGGGACTCTTTGTACGGGCTCAGCAGCTTCACTCATCCCAAGAGAATTCCGGAGCCAGAGCCACGCTGTACTCCGTAGCCAATGGACTGCTGACTGGACTTTGTGTGAAAAGTATGTGGGCTGGAGCGAATAAGAATGAAACCTCGTCTAACTTACTAAATGTTGATATTGATGTGGGACAAACTTCCCGTCTTCACACTCGCTTACCTATACGGCTCGTATCCAACCCCACGATGTAAGGACGAAGGTGAGGCTCGAAGAGTCTACTAACTAGCTATAGAGTATTATTAATCATTACTTGAGAACATCGCTTGCGAAACCCCACAGTATAGCGGGAACAGCGCTGCTTGCCTTGGTAAGTTAGTTAGTTAGCTGCCTTTCTCCTCACGCTACGAACAAGCTCGGATGATAGCCGGCTCTTATTCGGCTAGGAGGTACACTTCTTTGCTGCACTACTCCGTATGTATGGACGTGAGTACATGGACATAGATGGTGAGGAATTGACAGAGTTAATTCTTGATCTTTGAAGACACCGCAACGTATAGAAATTTCTGCTTTGATATGGATGGAATATGTATGGCCTATCCAAATGTGAACTAAAGTCAGATATAACTTGCTATTTTTTTTCCCTTTATTTTATTTTATTTTATTTCATGTATTTAAGACGATCTGGCTGTACACAGAACTGGCTGGCTGAGCTCCTAGAAGCTTGGAATCTAGTCAACAACCCAACCCACATCCATCTCCAGGAAGGTCAGTTAAGTTCTTGCAATCCTGGTCTCTCTCGATTTTGGCGTGTTGCGTCATGGCATACGCTCCAAGAGACGACAAGATTGGTAAATTCGGGTGTACGAACCCCATCCCTCCACTTTCACTTACAAGTGAACTCTTCCGTGAGGATAAAGCTCTAAAAATATACGTTGCGGGGTTTATGGAGGGAGTGGACCCTTTTGCGGGGGGACTCCTCAGCGGGGTAATTTACCTTGGGTAGAGTGGGTTTTGTATGTACATTAGTTTAGAATCTTGTTTCGTTTCGCTTGGGCATGAAGTGTACGAGATATCTTTCCATTCTTGGTTCTGGTATGAGATGAGCATGAGAGAGGATAGGATAGAGAGCTCTGGTTGATGTTGAGCATGCTGGAACATGGAGGATTGCATCTGGTATCTCCGATTAAATCAATAATAAAATCCAATAATAACTTCTGGATATTATTGGTATAAGTAGACGTAAATAGCTAGTAATTTATCCTCCCAGGAAAGTCATATTCCCACTGTAAGCCTTATGTAAATCATCAACAAATCAAATCCCTTTGCTCACAGCGTATATTTAAAGCCCTCGAGCCCTTCAATCGGCTTCATCGCAGTCCCTGCATCAACGTGCTTATTTCTGCGCCAGAAATGGAAAGTTGTACAAGCCAACAACGCCAGAACGAGGAGCTGCAAGCCGGTCGTTGTCCACAGGCCGGGAACAAACTTGGGGGCATCCACCTCACGGAACGTCGTCGAGGCAATAATGCCCCCGATCGCGCCAAACCCAATCTGCAGTGCACTTCCAACAGATCTCTTCGACTGCATGCGGATATTGTTAGATTGGTAGGCGAGGATGGCAGGAATATTTCCTTGACACCCGGCGGTGCCGAGGAATATGCCAAGGTAGCGAACACCGGATTTGGGGTGGTAGGCGGTGATCATAAGGCCGACGATGCCGATGATGCATTGCGCAGCGATGATGGGGGCACGGAGGCGGTACTTATCCCCCAACAAGGCGAAGGAGTAGGCAGAGATAACTGCGAAGATTACGGGCGGTGCGGAGAGGAGATTTGCGATGCCGCCGCTATATCCCATGCCCTGCCAAATTATATTTTGTGAGCTTGGACGGGTAAACCAGGTAGTGTGTTCTGGTTATGTGTCTTACCTGAATGATGGCTGGTGAGAAATAGGCAAAAGCGTATCTAAAAGAACACGGTTAGAATGTCTATCCAGTCTTCCCTCCCATCCATACAGCGGAAACTCACGCAGGGGTTGTAGTTGACATAAACATGAAAGCACTGTAGGTCGGTCGGTTAGCGAATATTTGTGTCTTTAGATACGTTCTGCCTGAATACTTACAAGGCCCAGAGCTTCCCATCCTTCAGATGCTCTCCAAACTTCGCCCAGGTTAGAGGGTCGTTCAAGGCATCAGCCCGATCTTTCTCGATGCGGTTTTTGATAAAATCGGCTTCCCGTTCCGTCAGGAAACCTGTCTTTTGAGCCTTGTCCGGGAAATCAATGATAAGGAACCACGAAACGATTCCCACCACTTGAGTGATAAGACCCTCAATGATCTGATGCATATCTAGAGTTAGCTGGTCCTCATGGGATTTAGTCCCGAATTTCTTTATAAGGCTTACGAAAATCCATCTCCAGCCAAGGTAGCCTTGTAGCCCTTCCATTTGCATGAGGCCATATGCGAGAATAGAGGAGAAGCCTCCAACAAGGACGGAAAATAGGTAGAATGCGGCAAGTCTAGCACGGAGTAAGCATTTATGTCGGCCTTCGAGTTTTTCTAGGGTAGAAAACGAGGTATACGAACCGTGTTTGCATCTCATACCGAACGTACCAACAAGAGATCAGGTACACGCAGCCAGGGAAAAATCCTATGAAAAATTGCCAAGGTTAGCCACAATGTCTGTTCATGTCAATGGTTGAGCGTATGGAGGTATACCAGCTTCGAAGAACCCCAAGAGGAAGCGCAGCGCAGTAAGAGCTTCATAGCTGTTCACGAACCCCTAGAAAAAAGTTAATACAAAGTTCAAAAATTGAAACATCGAAGCTAGCCACGCACCTGACCCAACATGAAAGACCCCCATGCGAAGGCAATGAAGGCAAGCCAGTTGGCACTTCCAACCTTTCGAAGGACGATATTCGAAGGGAGCTACAGATCACCAAATAGAAGGATTAGCGGTGTTATTCTTGTACGGGGAAGCATCAAAAAAAAAAAAAAAAAAAAAAAAAAAAAAAAAAAAAAAAAAAAAAAAAAAAGTAAAAATTTTTCCTTTTGTATGACTTACCTCGAAAAGGAAGTACGGAATGAAGAACACAAGCAAGGCAATGGTATATCGTGAGCCTATGTAAAGTTCCAGCTCCTTGTGCATCCCGGCCACGCGGGCATTCGATATCTGTGAAAGAAAGTGGTTATCATCCTGCTCAAGCAAGCGGTATCAAAAATGAAAACCGATGATAAAAGGGGAATCATACATTGACACGGTCGATTAGCGCAATGGCATACAAGGCTCCTAGGATGGGAAGTAGCCGCCAGTCGACTTTGCGTATCAAGGCTTTCTCATTAGCTGCTATGGCTTCATCGGCATCCGCCCCGGCAATCTCGATTTGCTCTTCCCTAGAAGAACTATCCTCACGCTTCTCGTGGTCCACCTCAGAAGCTTGAGCCATATTTGTTTCAACAATTGGAGCCAAGTTGCGAAAATGTTCAATTCAAGAGGCAAAGGCTAGAAAACAGTATGATAGGGGAATACCAAGTTGGTAAAGGGGGATACGCTTGAGTGGACAACCCTTCTCGTGAAAGTTCGAGATGCTCTGATGTTTGTTTCCAACTCATTGTCCAAGGCATGGCCAGTTTCGGATATGAGCGACAGCAATGCTTTTAAACCATTGATTTTACGGTGACCAAACATTCCGCAAACGATAGAAAGAGCCGAAACGATAGAAAGAGCCGAAGAAATGCTCATGCCTTGGTTGGCAACATGCAGGTATTACAACCCCCGCTTTTGTAGAAACAGCATCTCCTAACCAGCCAAGGAGAGGTCGTTGCGAGAATAGGGCGCCGAGGGACAAGGTTGGTGGCAGGCCGGTGTCTTCGTCTGCTCAGCTTCTCGATTCTGGCTACGGCCAATGAGCGGCATATGGAGTGATGGAATGGCGTTTTACCCCAGAGATGATAGGGGGAAATATATCGGGTCCCATATTATTTTCGTGGTAAAGGAGAAGTTGTATGCTAGCGCGAGTCCAATGCCCTGCTTCCGAGGTGAACATTCCTCAACTTCGAGATCGAATTCGGGAAATGGATGCAGGGATATTTTGCAGAGCACTTGACACTCAGTAACGTGGAGGCTAGCTCGAAAGTTAAGCCTTGATTCTTAACCTTGTCACAACCTAGCAAAATGCGGGGTGGAGCCGTCGTATAGTTCCGAAAGAATTCCAAAAAAATAAAAATAAAATATGCTGACCCTGACTGACTGCTTGGGTTGTTTCACAGGCAATTTTCCTTGCACTAGGGGCATGAGGCCGTGTGCAAATGAGGGAGGAAGAGGCCCTGACATTTGATTCATGCAGTGCGGTCGGTGGTAGCCCAAGTTGCACTGCATACTATGGTAGGACGATGCACGGAAAAGTCCAAAACGCAGCTATCCCAGTTAAAGTGTCAAGACCGATGCAGGAAATCCGGAGGATTTAAAATAGCGTCTTGGAAAGCTGGCTCAATCCCCAGCTATGAGGTAGTTAACTAGTTACACGACATCTGAGTGGCCGGCGGTGGTGGCGGCTTGCGACTAACAACAAGCGACCTGACTCCAATAATGTAGCGGCTGGCATCAGCACCGGCATTGTCTGTGACATTTTTGCCCGAGATAGGGAATTAATTTATGCTCCCCCTTGCACTTCGATAGAAGCAAGACTCACGAGCAAAAGGACCCCATTCTCTAGCTCGTTATGGCGGCGACATTTGCTCTGGGTACTGACAGGTTTGTCGTGTCCACGAATGTTGTCGTTGAATGTCAGCTGATATCTATCTTAGATACGGGCTTGGATATACAGTTAGAACTCAACAAACGTGCATACTATACTGGCGAGAATGTAATCATTCCCACTGTATCTGTCGATTCCCCCCTCTATTTTTAACTTTGTTGAACCACCTCCACACCTCGGCAGGACGATGGCAGGTAATAATAATAATAATAATAATGTTGAAGGATCTGGAAGGGCGTGAATCCGACCAACAAGTCGACCGCCAGCCCTCAACGGTTCCCCGCCAAATGGATGAGGTATTCATGACTGCCGGGAATGCGGGGCTTAAGGAAACTTTGCGCATCCACTTGAATGCCGCGGAATGCGTTTTCTTTTACTGCAGCTCGCTCTAGATTTTTGGGAATTGAACTAGTGTACAGAGCTCTTCAGAGAGCGCTACTTACTCTGCCGCCTAGATGGAAGGAACAGAGTTGCTCACTGGACTATATCTAGAACACACGAGATCAATTGACAGAGGTTTGTTTGACGGGTGCAGCTAAATAAATAAGAGGTTTAAGCAAGGACCTATTCCCTTATACGGTTAAGAATATGATGATATTTATAAAAAGTATCAGGGAAGGGGTAATAGAACTCAAAAAGAGAAGCAGGATATCAAACATAAACAGTCACGTTAGAAGAATTGGAATGTCATTAAATATTCCATTCATTCATCACTCATTGATGCCTCCTGACAAGAAGAAGGCATGACATGTAATTTGTGCGGTGCGTTTGTTCATCAACACCATTCCCATATGCAAAAGCAGCATACCAAAAACATAAAGGGAGCTCTGCCAGTCATTAGCGGGAGAAATTCAAATTGAAAAGAGAAGTCACCATCCAAAAACCAAAACGCCGCAGACAATGAGGGGGGGAAAAAAACGAAAATAGAAATATACAAAGGAAAAGGGTCGTAATGGGAGTCCAGAACCCGAACTATGAAGATACCACAGCATGAAAATGTGGGCTTTTTTATCCAGGAGATAAAAGAAGTCACAGCCAACCGTCACTAGTTTCGCCCGCTTCACGTTCAAGACCACCTGCGAGATCTAACTTGGGCGGTTCGTCGCTCACTAGCCCTGCACGCTTTTTCGGAGACCCCGGGGTAGCCCTGATGGGGCTTCTGGGGGCAGACTCCGAAACACCCCGGGGTGGACCTTCGCGGACGTATTGGAACTCCCACCCGTCTTCTGCTGCCGCGGCAACCCAAAGACGGAGTGAATCGTGCACAGAGGAGTAGAATTTCTCCTTACAAGTGCGTAGGCTGGCACCCATCACTTTCTCAAAGCCGGAGGCCTGAAGTTCGGCTCGTAGATTATTGCGCTCACTAGCAGTGGGCAAAGCTGCAAGTAAACCATTCATCAGATCGAGATGGTTTGCGATATAGTTGGTGGCATCCCATTCGACCCCACCAACATAAGGGGCAGCGGGGACTGGGGGCCGAGGAGGGGGGAAATAGCGTTTCCCGTAGGGTTCAGAATCAACCCCTGTAGCTTTTGCGACAGGAATAACATTGAGGTGATGGAGGAATATCCAAAATACCTCCTTAGTCACATTACTGACTTCCTTACACCACACCCGATACGGACGCGGTTGATAAATACTTGCAATGAAGTTCAACGGCTGGGATTCCTCTGGTGGAGTCGGATCCCGCATATACGCTAGGATCGTTTTTGCCCGAGGCACTAGATTGTCGGGAGATGCGGACGAAAGGTGGGTGAAAAGCAGGCTAAGAACAATACCCCGGGTTGTGAATTCGCTTGGGCCTTTCTTCTCTTCATCGAAGAGCATATGCAAAAGCGTTGGAAATAGCACAGACTCGACCGACGAAAGATGACGGAGAGCCAATGATGTCGTGCAAAGTGCTTTCAAACAGAGAAGGGTTTCGTGTAAAAGGGCGTCTTCGTGTTCCTCCCTATGAAAAATGTAAGTGAGCATTTTCAAAAGATCAGATATTATTTTCAAGGGATGGTAAAATACGCACCGCCACTCCACTTTGAGGATCCGGTACAAAAGTTCAATGATTTCATCCATTCCTCCATGCGAGATAAAGGCGTCAACCCATGCCACTGTCTCATTTCTCAAAAGTATTCTGAGTTTGTGTAGCTTGCCCACTTCCACTATCTCTGGCTTCTGAACCTCTCGAAGGTAGTGAACAAAGTCAGTGGGATCAGCTGTATGGTCTGGCTGCACCTGAGGCGCTAGCCCTGTCGTTGAGCTTGAACTAGATAGGCCTCTAGAAGATACGGGCCGAGATAAATCAACGGACTTTGGACGCTTATGAGCAGCCATGTTCTCATTGCTCTTTTTAGGCGAGGATATGTCCGGTTTTGAAATTGAAAATGGACGGTTTCGGGATCGGGATCTGGATCCCTTACCGTTAGAACCCTTTCTCCCGTCCGCAGAACCACTCGATGAGTTTCTATCGTTGGTAGGGTTTGATGAACCAGCCGTGCAAAGATCAAGATGATGCTTCCGTATGAAATCAGCTTTGATACTCGCATCCAAAGAGCGCATCTTATCGCGCATGTTATGAGGAATATTCCGAGAATCCTTTTTTCCCCGCAAATGAAACAGTTAGAAGATCATTATCATTGTCTCATTCTCGGAACGTCTATCTTACCAGAAGTGCTTCGAAAGCTCCATCGATCCCTTCTGGGTGTAAGGGTTTCTGTGGCTCGGTCTCCTTTTCCTTCGCGTTGAATGCTGTGATAGCTGCTAACACCCGAGACCCACGCTTTCCACCCGATTCCCGCCGCTCCTCCAACGCGTATCCCGGTGGAGATCCGCGACGAACGTGATTTGCTGTGCGGCTATTGCCTCCTTTCTGCCACTGTTGTTCTCTGGAAGCTCCTGAACGTTGCACGGAGGCTAGCATATCTCTAAAGGATGAAGAACCGGGTAATATATATTCTGACTTCGGCCTTGCCTTTGTATCAGGGCGTTTCGTTAGAGACGGTAGTTGATGGCCGTGAAAATTCCTCTGCTTGGATGGCGAGTATCCCCTAGGAGTATACAGCGACATTTCTTCGTCTAAGGTTCGTCCTCTCTGTGGCAGATAGCGGTTGCTACCCTGGTCTGGTTGATGCTCTTGATATGGGCTTCGGAAATGAGTCCATACTGGCGAAATTTCTGCGCCAGGTGACTGAGGAGGATTCATATTTTCCTTGTCTTTTTGCTGTTTGTTGGAAGTATCTTCCTTACGTTCACGTTGGGACCTTCTGAAAATCGCCGACAAACTAGTAGAAGATTTTGTCTTTTTTGCCTTCTTTTCCCGAGAGGTTACCTCTGGGGATGGAGGTTTGTTAGGTGATGTGAAATCCTTCATAAGTGACCTCAATGATACGGAGCTCTTAGTTTTCTTATGTAGACTATAATCCAGCGTGCCCTCAGGGGTTTTGTGACGGGAACGGGGGCTATTTGGGGCATCACGATTATGGGATATTTCAGACAACGGTCGCTGCATATGGGAGTGTGGATGGTCGAGAGGTAACATGGGAGGGGGCATGCCCGCATGCTTGTTTTGAGGGGCACTACCGGCTGAATGATTCCTCTTGTGAGCTTTTGAGGGGAAAATGGACCTCAGGCCCGAAGCCCTTGGTTGGCTCGAGTCCTCGTCAACAAAAATGCCCGCGTTTTGCATGGAGGCCGCCATTCTGCGTCTTCACGGGGTCCTGTACAATGAATGATATTAGTATTGGGGGCACAATGTAAACAAGACAGGCATCGGATATGCTGGTGTTAACTTACTCCGCTTTAGACAATATCTAGTAGCACACGATAAATGAAGCTATAATGAAGCAGAAATGGAATGCAATATCTGTAATCTAGATATTTACACGATTGATAATGAGAAGGAAGAAGAGGTTCAAGTAAACAAGCCCGCAACTGTGTCCGAATGGAGGCAGCTATGGGAAAACTCGACCATCAATGCTTCATCCTCTTGAAGGCAGACGCAAGGAAGTCAAAGTAAGAAACACAATAGTCAACAGAACAGGAAATTAACAAATATTAAGGACCCCCATGACAATAATAAATGAATCGGTGAGCGGTGTTCAAGGATGGGCTTCATTATGATGACGGAAGAAACATGTGTTCCGGCGTTGCTGCAGCAACTGGGGGAAAACCCCGATAACAGCTGGCGGCGGCGGCGGCGGACTTAGCGCACAACAAAAGCCTGCGTGGAGAAACAACGCATACATAGGAAATGCAGAGGCGTGATTGAATCCGATATCAAGATTCAATGAGTGGTCACCAATAATTCTCTGACCTCAGTAACTATCTGTTGTTTGGTATGCTACGTTCTTAGCAGCATTTCTTCCATCCAGCAACCGGATCCTGGCAAGGATTCTTCCGCCTTTAACGCGTTACGCGCTTAGATAGCCAATAGACCTAATATATCTGCTGCTCGGGACTACTTGGAGATTTCGGCGGCAGACAGTCAGACAAACAACAGACGAATTTCAAGCATGCATATATAATAGCACAAGTAGCTTGTTCTGAATATCTTTTTTAAGTGGGACGAGATAGACCGGCCTTTTTCGTGCGTCCCCTTTCCAATAAACATGCTCCATCTCTAACGGCTCATTTAGTCCAGTAACAGTCAAAATCCAAACCGTATTTCTATTGACTTGAGTTGCCCAAGTAATGGGGTGGTGGTTAATTGGACTTGTTGCTCATGTGTCAGAACGCTTTTATATATCGAATATGTGTCTTAAACTGGTCCTCCTAATCTTATGAAAGAGAGTGCCTTGGAATACCAGAACTTACAGATCATCCAGATGTCTCTAGATGGCGGCGTAGAAGCTTGAAGATTGACAATTGAACTACCTAGGTACCCAGCGTGGGCTCTAGGGAGCGGGAGTGAAATGAGCCATGTCTATTGCATTAATAAAACCCTCATATAGCTGGAACAAGGTTGGATACGTATTATTTATATCTAGGGGTGCCACTTAACGAAATGAGAACCAGGTATTCCACTGAATTCCACTACAATAGTGGTATGAAGGTATGTGTGAGTTCCTGACTTAAAGATGGTTTCCCACTTAAACCACATCCCGCATAATTTTGAAACGCGTCAAAAGAGAGGTAAGTAATCTGAACGCCAAAGAAGCATAATGCTATCAAAAAAAGGAAAATAAAAAAAAAAAAAAACCGTTGAAGCAAGGCTCGGAATAACACAAAGCACAATTTAAATCCAGGTCATGGACGGGGAAGAGGGTACTGAAGTCTCTTTCCAGAAAGGTGAAACAGACCAGACATAGCCATCTCATCCAGCAGCCTCTTTAACCTTCCCTTCCTCAGGCGGTTCATCCACAAACTGTGGCGGCCCAACCTCATCCTGCAGAAACGCCGGCATCGCATCCTCACCCAGGACATTTTCAAACATCGACTCCTCCCCAAGCGCCTCCAACTCCGCATCAAGCTCAGCCTCATCCACGTCCTCCGGCACGTCATATGCGCGGCTGATGCTCTCCTGAATCTCATTCCCAATCTCCATCAAATCCTGCATCTCATCCTGCATCCGCTCGATCTGGTCGATGTCCACCTTGCCATATTGCTGCTTGAGTGTCTTGGTCGTGGTCTTCATCGCGTCCACAGTCGTCATAACGTTTTTCAGATTATCCTGCATCATACCTGCTTGTTCCATATTCCATGACTGTTGAGAGAGTTGGTCGCGCTGGGCTTCGTATTGCTTGCGCCGTTGTAGGACCTTCAGCGCTTTTTGACGCATAGCATTCTTCCCAGGCCCGTCACGCATTTTGGCCATTCGCGATTGGTAGGAGGATAATTCTGCATTTAGGGCGGCGAGTTTGACGTCTATGCTTGCGACGCGGTTGTCGACCTGTTAGTTGGTTTTAATAAGTGTTTACAATTCGGTGGCACTTCCGAAAAGGGTGGTAGGGTTGGGTGGCGGGAAAGGAAGAAACGCACATTTGAGATTGCGGAATCGAGTGTCGGTCTCGGAGCAGAGGTCTTGGTACCAAATAGCCGGTTCATGGCTGGTTGTTTGGTGTTTATGTGGCCGCTGCTATTGGTGTTTGGAGAGGTGGTGGGGTATTGAGGGATGGAAAGGGGAAAGGTAGGTAGGGATGGCTGAAGGAATCTACTAACGTAGGTTATAGCTTTGGATGGATGGATATATTGCAAAAAATTTGGATTTGGCACATGCTGTCCTGTCCAACCTGTTACTGCATCGGAAGAAGATATCATTACCTATTATCCTTCATCTGAACCGATGATGCCTGGCGATCAACTGATGTCAGGGCCGGATCACATGACTCCTGCCAAGCCATGGATCAAACGCCAAACGGATCCGTCTCAACGTGGAAGAAATCGCAAGAGAAAGCAGGAATTTATATGTTTTTCATTTGTTGTTTCTCATTAAAGAAGAGTTCAACATTGGGTTTGCAACTAGCTTTATGAATACAAATCTTAAAAAAATCCCACTTGGTCCTTGATTTCGATCAAGATGACAACTAGTATCACATTAAGTTGGCTTCAAAAGCCAATCCGCTGGGAGCCGCAACAAAAGTTTGTTTTTTCAAGGGATCATTTGGTTCATGCGGAAGAAAGGGATTTTGTAGGACCCTGTTCCGAAGCGGTTTGCGCTGTGGAAGTTTGGTCTAGACAGCGGTTGGTGGTTACATGACAGACAGACATGATGTAGCCGAATATCAACCAGGCCTTAGTAGCAATGTATACAGAATACGATATCTGTTTAATTTCGCACCTATCCTTCTCCGCTGTGCCCAGTGACAGAATTGTATTCACTCTTGTGGTTGTTGTTGTCGTTGCAGTAGGAGTTAAAATATTTGCTTTGCGCGGCGGTGTGGTCGGTCATCTCAATATTTAGCAGAAAATTTGGACTGAGCCTCACCCACGCCAACGCCAGCACATCTCACAACTGCCACTTGCCGACCTCACCTCACCATCCGCTCACACGATACCAACCTCCCGTTCTTGACTCTTGCTGGCCTTAGCTCTATAGGCAAGGCTACTTTTAATTATTTATTCTTGTTCATCTTCATCGTCATTCTCTTATTCGAAGGTACGTTGCTACCCTTCTTCCGGCACATGCATGCAGCCATTTCTTCAACAACCCCCCCCCATTTCCCCCCATTCACGTCAGCATCCTAAATAGCCCGCCCCCCTTGCATCTTCAACCACACCTCTTTCCCATGCGCCCTGTTCGTATACCGATATACCATTTTTGCATAGCGCATGGCCGCCTCGTCCATATTTCTATGCTCTATTCCTATCCAACACGTTTACGATATCCTCGAAATTCCCCACGATCTTAGTGCCACCATAATACCCATATCTCCCTCTGTACACCTCGCATCCCGTGCTTGATACTTTGCAAAATTATCGTTATTTTGCGGATAGCAACATTTGCGCATAGATTCTCGGATTCAGAAGCATACTTGGGGATCAAAAGAAAAAGAAAAAGTTTCAAAAAATAGAGAAGTCGCCGACACATCACCTCGCATTTTCCCTGACGTCAATGAAGTATCGTTCCCGTTTTTGTCTCTGGTATAATTATAACTCATCATGTTCTGGCGTTTTGGCGGATATGCAAATATCTCCGCCATCGATACCCTCCTTGAGAAGCCAGATGTCTCCCTCGAGGAAGTTCTCGATGAGTCGGAGCTTATGCAAGAGCTCAAACAGCATAATACAAAACTCATAGAATATCTACGTGACGATAATGTCTTGAAACGATTGCTCGACTACGTAATTTCGCCCAGTCTGATAGATGACGAAGATGACCACGATGACGGTGCGCAAGAAGAAAAGGAGAGGGATAGGGAGGGAGAATCAGCGGAAGGTCAAGAGGCGGCAGTGACTGCGGATTCATCGGAGAAAGCCAAGGAAGAGGGACAAGAGCACGCCGACGATAATCCCACTCGTTTAAGTTCCGGTCTCGACATCGAAGAGCTAGAAAATGCGGAGAAGTCACGTTTGAAATATTGCTACATTGCTTGCGAAATCTTGTCGTCCAACTCCTGGTCGATCATAGAATCGATGATGCTCAATGAAGGATATCTGCGGGACTTCTGGCGCTTCTTGTGGAGGGAAGCGCCGCTTGATCCACTCCAATCCGGGTACTTTACCAAGGTGAATGAAGTTCTTCTTGAAAAAAAGACAGAAGAAATGCTCGCTTTCATCAAGTCTTTAGATGGTGTAGTGCCCACGCTCCTTCGACATGTGGATAACCCAATGATTATGGATTTGCTTCTGAAGATTATAAGCCTTGAAAGGATGGAGGGTGGCCAGGGCGTTGTTGAGGTGAGCAGCATTGTTCCATTGCACACCCGCCCAGAATAGAACTAACCTAACTAACCGTTTCAAATTTAGTGGCTGCAATCACAGGACCTGATACCATCCCTGTTGTCTTGCCTCTCAACGGAGCATACCTCTTCGACTCAGACATCCGCCGGTGATTTTTTGAAAGCAATCATCACAATTTCTGCCAACGCGGCGCAAAATGACCAGTCTTGTATCGGACCCAACAGCTTGACGCGCCAACTAGTTTCCCAGCCCTGCGTGGAAGTTCTAATATCTTCAATGTTAAAGGGTGGAAACCCGCTTACTGTCGGAGTTGGGATTGTTATTGAAGTGATCCGCAAGAACAACTCTGATTACGACCCGGAAAATGCTGGTGGCCCGGACTCACCCCCAACGATTCATGATCCTATATACCTTGGGACTCTCTTGCGCATGTTTGCGAAGAATGTGCCTGGTTTTATGAACCTGATACTCAGTTCACAACACACAGTGAACGAAGGTGGTCAGCACAAAGTTGTTGAAAGACCCCGTCTCGACAGCGCCTGGGGAACTAGTATTGAACCCTTGGGGTTTGACAGATTCAAGACGTGCGAACTAATGGCTGAACTTCTCCATTGTAGTAATATGGGTTTATTGAATGAAATTGGAAGCGATGAATATATCAGGAAACGTGATGCAGAGCGTGAACGTCTACGAGCACAAGGTGTCTTCACCCACGGTGAGGATGACTCGGGTTTTGAATATGCTGACAACACGAATGAGTTCGCAAATGGTATCTCCCCATCTGCACTTGGTTCCGGCTCGCCTGAGGATATCAAACGGCTTGACGCGTCTCAGGCTGGTGAAGAGGATGGTTTCGAAGATGTTGCTTCATCCGGAGTATTGATAGACGATGTCAAGGATGATTTCGACGAGAAGGCTGAAGGGGAAAACAACGCGAAAGCTGGGCCTGAACCGTTTACAAGTATCCCACCACATGCACCTAAATTAGGCATTAGCGATGACTTTGTAGATGAACCGCTAACCCCACCGGAACAAGGGACCTCCCTGGATGCAAAGGTTATTCAGCCTCTTTCTCCATCTCAAGCTAACGACCCTTTATCACCTACCGCATCCATCCTCACCCAAAAAGTTGAAAGCTTCAAGATTGACGCCGAACAACAGCATAGCCCTAATGAGAAGCATGCCTCCTCCCCTCGGACTGAAGTTCCCACTCTTGGCCTGCCCGAAGGTCAACTTTCGGAAAAACAAGGTGGTAGTCAAGGAGATCATGAACTGGATTCATTGCTATCTCCGCACCTAGAGGATACACCTGCACCGCTATTCGCCGCAAAAGACTCTCCGCCAAAAGGGGAAACACAACCACCTGGCCAGGAAGGGACTGACGGGAAGGTGGAAACTTCAACTACCTTCGATAATAGTGGCGTAACTAGTTCTCTAACCCCGTCGATAACAATGGGCGATGCTGGAGAGAACGTTGCACACCCACATATCCAAATAGATACCGACGGTCAGCCAGTGGTAGGGGATTATCTGAAGATAATGTTTGTAGAACATAAAGTCATACCCACGATACTGGTAGGTACATGTACAGTCTAATTCGGATTTGATACATGACAGTATAGTAGCTAACTTACTGCAACAGTCATTCTTTTTCCGATTTGCATGGAACAACTTCCTCCATAACGTGGTATATGATGTTGTTCAACAAGTATTCAACGGCCCGATGGATCGTGGCTTCAACCGGTCCTTAGCCATTGACCTATTCGAATCGGGCCATATCACGGAACAGATTGTTCAGGGCCAACGTCGAAGTGACGAAGCACAACGGACGAAAAACATGAGATTAGGATACATGGGCCATCTAACTCTCATCGCAGAGGAAGTCGTAAAGTTCAGCGAACGCCATCCTCCTGAATTGTTGTCTGCGACGGTAATGGAGAATGTCCTCCACCCTGATTGGATTGATTATGTGGAACGAACTCTGTCTGAAACCAGAGAACGGGATAACGCAATTTTGGGGGGTGTTAGGCCCGATATGTCCATTGGCCATCGACAGGCGGTCCTTAATGCAGTCAACGCCTCACAGGGATTCACGGCCTCAACGGCCTTAGCCAACGCCGGTTTGAACGGAGGGGCCCCCGGTGCAACATTCGAAGGGTTGGACATTGTTAATCAAGGTAGTGCCTCGGGTGGTGCGTTTTTCGGCGGAATTGGCGGCCCCTCCTTGCTCAGTGGATTTGGAAGCTCGAGCGATGACGAGGATGAAGAAATGGAGGACCCAGAATATGAAGATGGTGCGAGAAAAGGCCCCTCAACTAGCGCAGAGAGCGGCTCTGATAATGTGGGTAAATCTTTCTTTCAGGACATTGATATGACCGACCGATGATGGCAACCTTTTACCAACAAACCTCGTTTCATGCTGCCGAACTCGATGTTTTGGAGCGGTGTGTTGGTGACATATGGGCTACTACTGTACTTTTGTAGCCTCCATGGCACATTGTATGGCACCTTGGCATGAGGTCGTTCACGGTCGTTTATATCGAGCGATTTTATTTTCATTCTTAAGGCTCCATATTTTTGCACAAGGCGCTATCTCAAATATGTATAGACACCAAGGCTGCTTGCTCGCCATTCCTAGACCTTCATACCACAATTATCTTTGTTCCCATTGGATCAGATACTTCTTCTGGCTACATTAGGTGGTTGTTGATTACTCTGATCTTTTCTCATCCTATTTCCCAAATCCTTACAACAAAAATTCTCTAATTGTTGGTACTCAAGTCTTGAGGATTTGATTAAGGATAGTATACTGATGGTTACCCTAACTTCGCTTCTCTACTTTTATTTTTAGCGCCCGGGTTGTATTTCTGAAGGAACAGGAGCATTAAGCAACACCTAACTTCCGTTGTGCATTATCGCTAACCAATTCTATTTAACCTTACAGGAAAGCTCCCATGCGACAAGCCAACCGATCCCCATGCTATCACCGCCTGCGCCTTTGAACATTCCACCATCCCGAGCTCGACTTCAACTAGCCGCACGCTTAGCAGCTCAAAAGGAACGGGCTGAAGCCGCCATTTTATCGCCTTCCTCGGGCGACATTTCTAAGCAGACTGAAGCTCCCTCTTCAAGCAACAGTGGCCAATCAGTGAACTACGGTTTTGGCCTTCAATCTATCCTAGATAGCTTCGGATCGCACGCGCAGAGGAATGAGGGATTTGACTCGTCAGCAGTGGGAAATACGTCGCCTTACGACCCATTTACTTCCCCCTTTGCGACATACGGAGGGCCGTCATCCCCTCCATCTTCCCTGTCTAACTTTCCCCAAGTTCACTCGTATTCGTCCAACTCGTCCGACGACGGCGACGACCCGTCGACCGAAGAAGCGGTACAACGGAAAGTTCGACTTCCATTAGAGGTAGATGATGAAGACGCGGATGAGATGGGTGATATAATCGGGCCTAATGCGGAGCTTGTCTC